AGGGGAGGGATCAGGTGGAACATTGTTGGGTCGTACCTGCGCGAGCCCACTCTTTCGGGGGGGGCGCCCGACCAGCGGCTCTGACTTCTTTATTTTTCTTCTTCTTCGTACCTTTCCTCGCTTTTTTCACGGAGAATATAAGCGAGACGCTGCACCGCGTGTTGCCGTAGCACCTTGGCGATGTCTTTTATATGTCACGATCCCTCGTCGGATTTCCGAGCTCCGCCGGACACTTACACAGCCGCATTCGTATATGAATGAAAATCACTAATGAGCTGTAAAATCTGTATATGCGCATCCTGTATACGTGTCGCTCTTCCATTGCTAATAATATTTACTGCGTCGAAAGCAAGTTTTCGTAAATTTTTTGCTGTCATTGAAATGGGTAAATTTTCATTGCAAATGCTTGTTCAACAAATAAAAAGAAAACAAGCAACTAATCGCTTTTATCGCGACTAGTAGCTGAATTGATGCACGCTCGAATGTCGACAATGGCATATATATGTATCCGGGCCGAGAACGCCAAGAAAGGATGAACGAAAGAAAAGAAAGCCGTCAGATCGGTGAGCTGCGCCAAACATACAGGGATTTCCTAGAGTCAGATATGACCAGAGATAGTCGGGGGGGGGGGGGGGGGGGTGAGTGGTGCGCAAGACCCGAGGAATTCAATAGATTGGAAAGCAAGGCAAACAAAAGGCAATTCAATAAGGCCCTGGCGCTCTACGTGTTTGCATATGCCTTCCTCGTTGCAACTTGCTTATTTTTTTGCCGAGAAAAGCCATTTGCGGCTCGTTCCGCACCTAGCGGGCCGTCCTCGCCACAGCAGCCGCGTTATTAATGGGACAAGAGAGCCAAATCTCACAATGTGGCCAACGATCGACTTGTCGCGCGCCGTCGCTGTAGCCGGATACGGAGAACAGCCAAGCAGACTAATGATCCAAGCGAGAAAAAAACCTCGTGGCTGATCTGCTCCGCTCCGGCGAAAGTTTGCTCTCTAACCCATGAAAAATGACGTCCACGCGGAGGCGGAAAAAAATCTATTTTCTCCATAAGAATTGCGGGCAAAACGGATTCAAAGTAATTCATTTTTAAGTCACACTCTCGTTGGATCAATATTTACTGATATTTCATCAAACACCGAGAACAAGCGTGTTGCTCCATTTTACATGACATAATCAAATGGAATCTGGTAAAGAATAATAAATTATATGGCAAATTATACTATAATATTCTTAAAATCTTAGTAAACACCATCAGATTGACTATTTTTATATGTAATTAAGAAATTACACTGTACGAGTAAATAAAAAGAAAATCCACTTTTCATGGTCCCGGCATCATGATTTCTTTTACAGTACAATGACTTTAGCACAAGAACTTTCTTGTTGTTTAGATTAAAAATATTGCGACTCTAGAGCCCTAAATTAGTGTAATTTTTCGTTATCACTCGTATATTTTATTTTCCTTTATCTTAATTTTTGTTATTTGACGTATTTTCCGTCGAGAAATATTGACAGTCAGCCACGAATAGCATATTTGGCTGTATCGAAATAGTAAAAAATTATATTATTTGCTAGTTTTTTGCAGTAACTGAATTGAATTAGTAAAATCAACTATAAACTTATTTATCGGTTAAATTTTCTACTATATTCTATAGTAACTGTAATTGCCAATGATAAAATCTTAATTTGTTCAAAAGTCATATTTAAAGTGAAGATTTATTGGTAGAATGTGACCGCTAACAAAGTTTGTAGACAAGCAAGTCATTAACTGTCGCGGCAGGGATTTATTCTTAAATCCTTAACTATATATATTAAAGACTGCTTATAGGCATTTAGTTTTTCCCGTGTAAACCAAACGTAAAACTTGTACGAACCAGTATGCAATCTGCTGTGTCTTATAAATGCAGTAATAAAGTGTTGATTAGGTCTAAGTACCTTTTCTTTTAACGGAGCCGATATTCACGGGGGATTTATGGCAGGCTAATGACTTTGGGTATTGACTTATTCGTTCTCCCGTGCACTGGCAATGCAAAACGTGTACGAACACGAAAGTCCCTTCGCGCGGCAGACAGCAGCTTAGGAAGCTTTCTTTTTTACCTTGACGACTAATCCAATGGTCAATCTAAATTCGTTCTATTTTGTTGTCTCCGTGAGGGTTAATAAAACGGCTAAAGATTTACGATGCTTATGCCTCCGAAAAACTAACGCTAACGGGTAGCCTGACTTGGTGCGTAAGCGTCCATTGCTAGCCGCTATAGCTGTGCAACGTTTATCCTGCCTTCCACTTGATCAAGTGATTTTAGCATATCAGTGAGAAATTGTTTGTTTGGCCGCGACATACTTCTTTATACCCCCTTTGCAGCGCTGAAGCATACCAAGGGTAGTTTAGTCACTTTAAAAAGGCCCCTCTCTATTTAATATCGCACACCTGCTATTTTTTTCCAAAACTGGACTTTTACGGTTATTCAACCTCTCATCAACGTTAAAAAATTAATCGATTTCAATTCTGTTATAAAAAAAAAAAGAAACTCGTTAGATTTGCATATGACCTCTGAAAACCAAGCGGCCAGCCGTTCGTTCGTTACACATCGAGCGCGACTCAGCGTATAACTTCGCGATGTACTGCTTACAAAGTGTATACATAACGCATTCTTAATTGTTCGCCAGCACAAAAGTATTTCACCCTGGTCGGGAATGCACCTCGTGCAAAGAGATCTCGAGCAAGAAAGAAACATTTGAAATGCCAAGGCAAAGCAAGTATAAAACTGCAAGAGAGAAAGAGAGAGAAAGAGCGCATCTTCTTTGCTTTTAAAAAACTGGTTTCGATTTAACGGCCGCGCGCCGTCGTCGAAATCTCGTGCCGGGAATGCGCGCGCGCGCGCAGATTTTTGTCTTGGCGGGCCCTAACTCGCTACATACGACGAGTCGCCTTTTTAATGGAAAACCAAGAACGCGAGGGAAAAATCAACAAGCCAATGCTCAGCGCTTTCCTATCGAGACGTTTGCTCGCGGCCGTGTGGATACTTGTTTTTTCCTGATGTCTTCATTTCAGCGTCGGTACGCCGAAAACCGGGAAAGGATAGAAATAATAACGCTGGTTTTGGACCAACAAGCCGGGAATACGTCGGTTGATCGAGCGAATCTCCGGCTTGTGAGCTTTTTCTAGATATTCACGTCGTTGCTTTCCGTGATAATAAAGAGCCACTTCGAATGCAATTTTTCGTTCCGTTCTACCGCGCAACACAGAGATGTGGTTTGACTCGTCGCGAATCGTACCGGTTGTACGAATACAATGAATGTTTATCACTGCTATCAGCAGCATTAATCTTTACGCGCGGCAAACGTTGATCGGCGATGAGCTATGAATAATAATTAATAATTAATGTTAATCGACCAAAAAGCAGATCTGAAAAGCATACCGATAATGAACTCGCAAGCTCAGGTTGAATTACGTAAAAGCGTCGGAGGCACTTGCAAAGAAGCATATAGCAGCAGCACATGTAAGAGCGCACCACCTCCAAGATGCGTATGCTCGGTTGGGTCGACGGCGAATGCGCGCGCGAAGGGGCGTAAGTCTATTCGCCGTCTCTGTCTGGTGGCGCGCTTGGGGCATTGGTTGTGGGTCAGGATTGGCCACTGATGTCGCTATAGAGCGCACTTCCACTCGAGCAACGTGCGCTCGATGACGGAGTGGGGCACGGGCTATTTAAGTGCGCGCGCTCCCCTATCAGGCCACAGTCGGTGTTGCACCGTTAGCAGTGCCCTTTGGTTCTCTCTGCAAGTTTGCCCTAGTGTGCCTAGTGATATACATTTTGTGTTAATTTCGAGTGCATATAGTTCATGTGTCTGCTTTATTAACGACCATTCGTTTGTCGTGTGATCGCTTCGTCGGTTGTTGTTTTTCATCTTGTTTGTCGCAAGCTTCAACCATCAACATGTTCATCATGAGCCCCATTACCGGATCATGCGATGTCTGCCAATGCACCAGGTAATTTTGCCCGAATGAATGAAATTGCAACTCGAGTAGGGAGTTATTCGTTTGAGTGAGTGCGATACGAGGATCGCCAAGCCAGAGTTCGGGCTTATCGGTTTTTTTCGAATACACCATTATGATTATCAGCATTTAATTCTAACGACTTTTCTATTCAGTTTTAAAACTCTTTTCTACCCTCAATTCACACGAAGTATTTTTACGTTTTATTTTTGTTTCCTTTTTTTATTGCATCGAATAAAAATACGTTTTCTCCAAAGTTTAGTATTTAAGGGCCCGATGTAAATAATTCAGTCATTCGAGATACGACATTATTAATTATTTTTTAATGAGATTTACGTGCATTCAAATAGTTATAGTACGGCTCAAAACGGAGTTTTTATTACGTGTTCCGAAACGTGAGACTGAGCAAACTGCGATCGGTCGTCAAAGCAGCATATTTTCAAAATACGCCCGCGCGCGATGGAATTGAGTGTGCCATATAACAGTTTGAAAAAATGACGAAGCGAGGCGCCACGAACGAACGAGGCGGGCGCGAGTGCGCGACTTCTTCGGGCGCGCTATAGTTTTTCCCCCCCCATCGACAGTCGCGCGGCAAGCGTCTGCCGTGACGGTTCACAGGAGGAAGATAAATCGCTAGTTTGTTTCGTCTTCAGTGATGATATACTTGACAAAGACCGGCTCGTTTATCACACAAACTGGTCTCTAAATCGACTTTTAGCCGCCGCGTTCGACACTCGCAAACGGTACGATTGCCAATCATTCAAGTATTTCAGCTTTCTGCTGGGCACACGGTTTTTTTTTTGACGGCTGATTCAATTCTCAAATATCCGATCGGCGCGTCGTGTGGGTTCCCGCGTCGTGCTTTGTCCACGTGATACACACATCAAATACGCACGTCCATTACACGCTCGAACCTCGAAATCCCAACTCAAGTTTCATTCATAACTTTATAAAAAACTGAGAGTGAACAGTGTCTAACAAAGGTGCATGTTGTGTTTTTGCAGGCTGTTCCGCAATGCATTCCAAATTAGAGCAACACCGGATAGCCCATTGAAGAAGTCGAGCAGTAAAGCAAGACGACTCTTCAGCATGGCATCGTCTGACTCCAGCACGGAGAACTCGCCGAACTGCATCGCGAGTAGCAGCCACAACGAGGGCGCCGCCATGTTCAGCAGTCCCATTACTGGACAAAACTCGACGCCCCACAAGGTATGTAATCGATATCATATGTGTGCGCGTGCATGCGAGTCCCTCGCTCTCTCGCCTTTTTCCCGCACTTTTTTCCATTATAAATTTTCCCGCGATGTGGCGATTTCTTTCCACTTTCATGATTTTGTCCTTTATTTTTTCTTTTTGTTGAACTTAATGAATTCATTTATAGATTACAAATTTTGTCTGCGAACAGCAATTGACAGTGTCTGCTTTCTTAATAATGTTAATAATATACCTAGGCCGATTAGATTAGTGACGAAACTAGTTGATAAGCTGTCGACCTTCTTAATTCCCAAACACACGCGTTCCAAGTTTCCATAGAACTGGAGTAAGTAAACTAAACGAACGTTTCTGTCTGGATTACAGGTATGCGGCATGAAATCAGCGAAGGCGCGACTCCCGTTGGAGGAATTCGACCCGAACAGCCAAGACAGCGGCTACGGAGGCTGCAACGGCTACTCGGATGAGAAGCAGTCAACGTCGAACTTCCGCTTCGCCGAGCCATTCGGAGTGGCACCACGTCGTCTGTCGCTCGAGTCTCGCAGCCCGATGAAGTCGCCCGTGCGTTCGTCCCCGCAGCGCAAACGTTTCGCTCACCGCAACAATCTCTTCCGTAGTCTATCGTCTGGCTACGAAAGCACGGACGACGGCTTCAACGACCTAATCGACATGGAAAGCCTTGAGAACGAGAGCGCGCAAGCTCTGCCGAGCGGCTTGTCGAGCCTCATCTCCGGCAGCATCGTCTCCGATAAGCCCGTAGAGTCGATGGACGTGGCCACCACCCCCGAAGCTACATCTCGAAAGTCCTTCAACTTTAGGCGCTCAATGTTGCTGAAGAACGACGGCCTCCGCGACGAGGAGTCCACTCCGCCGAGCATCTCCAAGGTGCGCTCCTGCCTGTTCCGATCGCCCTCGGCTACCTCGTCTACCGCCAAGATCCTCTACGACGAGAGCCCGAAGCGCAGCCGCGACGCTGGCTTCGACTGTGCGCCGGTACCGACGATGACCAGGAAATTCAAGCGACCCGACCCACCCGCCAGCCAATCACCGATGATCGTCAAGCGCTCGAGGAAGAGTACCAGCTGCCAGAATGTCAGCCTTGTCTCCAACTGCAAGGGATCGTCTCCGCCGCCGCTGCTGATGCGCAGCCTCTCCGAGACCGAGGCGCACGCTCACATCAAGTCGGCCATCAACCGCAGCACCACCGACTCCGATCTGACCGGCGACTTCAGCAAGACTTGCGCGCTGCCGCTCGCCGAGGGCCAGCACGAGGATCTCAAGTCCATCAGCAGCGAGACCCTGTCTGGGCTCATTCGTGGCCAATTCAACGACCAGGTCAACGACTTTAAGATCGTCGACTGCCGCTATCCGTACGAGTACGACGCCGGCCACATCGACGGCGCTGTCAATCTCTACACCAAGGAAATGATCGAAGAGCAACTGCTCGACCCCCTCAAGCACGCGCCAGCGATCGAACCGGAGACGCAGAAGCGCAGCATTCTCGTGTTCCACTGCGAGTTCTCCTGGGAGCGTGGACCCAAGCTGTCTCGTTTTCTGCGCAACATCGACCGACAGAGAAACAAGGAGCACTATCCGGCGCTGCACTATCCCGAGATTTATCTTCTGGACGGCGGCTACGAGAAGTTCTACAAGGACCAAAAGGAGCTTTGCTCGCCACAGGGTTACAGGCCAATGCGAGATCCTGAACACGAGGCCGACTTGAAACTTTTCAGAAGCAAGAGCAAGAGCTGGCAGCCCGAGAAGATCAACAGAGCCAACGTCATCACAGCCCGAGCAAACCTTAAGCGGCTGGGCTTCTGAACAGGTCCACTCGCGGTATGTGTATATGTATATAGTGGACGCGAATGACAAGAGCGGCTTTTGTTGAATTTCGATTCGTTTTTTTTATTCGGTAAATTCGACAAAACTCGCCGAGGGCTCTACGTGCAAATGTATATAGCGAATATCGTTCGGGAAGCAGGCTTTACAAACGCTTTAATCTACTGTTTTTTTTTTTTTATTTTTTTTTTTTTTTATTTTGTAGACGTACGTGTGCCTCGAGAACGAATGATACAATCGATTTGTATGTCTGTGTGCGTGTATGATTACATGTTAGAGTAGTTGTAACCGTAACCAGGTTATTTATGTACAAAGGCGCGCGCGAGGAAAGAATGAGAGATGTAGGACGAGGCGAGATAATAAAGCGAAAAGCGAAAATAGTCAATTTTTCTTTTTTATTTGTATTATCGATTCGCTGACTAGCTTCGTCTGTACCAAATTAAATTTAGGTGCCACGGTGAGAGAGAAAATCATGGTAATGTCAAAACATAATTGTTCGTCTATATCAAATTTTATATTAACCGAGACTGATGAATTGTAAAAAAACGTATATCTGTCAGTTGTAGGTGTGCGTGCACGTCTTTTTCTTTCGACATTTGAAAAAGCAACGTTGCGGCGGCGATGTTTCTCATTTCTTCCTTGACGGAGTAAATGTCTACATGTATTATTACGATAGGCGTATATATTATTGTTTATTTTATAAGTATATTAACTTTAAATGAAATTTGATTTATCGATCAAAAAATGAAAACGGGAAAAAAGGTTCAACTTATCCTGTGAATATGTGCAAATGAGATTATATATGTTGTACAAAGCTAGAGCGCGCATTATGTAAAATTATAAGCATTAATATAATTTGTCATATAAAATAACATATCGAGTTCTATTTTACATTGTTCCCTCAATCACTAATTTTTACTTAATCATTCACTTATTAGTTATTAATCATTCATCATGTCACTAATTATTTCTCATCTCTTGAAAACTTGGTTTCTTTTGGAAAGATAAAGTAACTCATTTTTTAATAAACTAAGTTAATTGTTGACTTATGAAATTCTTCATGAAATGTTAGAAAACAAGATATAAAAAAGCTGTTAGTATTAATTTGAATTCAAATAATAGAGCGCGGAGTAGCGACGCCTCGCATTGATTGGTTAATATTTCAAGCCACGCTTTGATAGTCACGAATCAAAACCCTTATAGTATCTTTTCTAAAATTTTCCATTGCTTGGCGCTGTTTGTACCGGCCGGCGTTGATGTTGGGTGAGTATCTGCTGTTGCGCAATTTTACTTATATCTATCGTAAATATAGTTATAAAAAATCGTTACAAAAGTGTTGTAACGTATAATCACGAATAATTTCACTAAAAAGTGTTTCTTCGAAACAAGCGACGTTCTTTTCTATTCTCAGTGCAATATTATAGTGATGCTCGCGTTCTCACTTAACGCAAGTAATTAAGAGTGCAAACAATAGTAATAATTATAAGATAATAGTACGAAGAGATTACTTTATATTACAGGAAACATTTATTTGCTTAATTTTGTTTGATTATAGTATTTATTTTATTGTAATTTTTGTGAACTCTATGCTGACGTGGATTTATAACCTCTTTTATTTTATTTATTTGATCCAACAAATTTCAATGATTCCTAATTGAAGTAAATAAATATATTGTGCCTAGTACAGAATAATCCATAATATGATTAGTATTTAAATTCCCTTGGAGTTCTAATCATTTAAGAGATATTTGTCATTTGGTGGGATTCATTATTAGTTGCTAATCTGTTATTTCTTATTTTAGCATCACTGATAACAAAGAGACCTTTGATAAGTCTTGGATCTCGATTACTTGCAACAATGACTGAAGCCTTAAAGACTCATGAAGTTATTCCTGATGTAATTGACACTATTCCATCTGCAGTTGTCAAAGTATCTTATCCAAGTGGAGCTACTGTGGATATTGGTAAAGAGCTTACTCCAACTCAAGTCAAAGATCAGCCAACTGTCGAATGGGATGCAGATGACTCTAGCTTCTACACCCTTTGCATGACAGGTGCTTTATATATTATATTTATTATGAAAAGTTCTTGTTATAATTTACTTAAAAAAAATTTTAAGGAGAACATATGTTGATTTTAATCTGTCATTATTGTATAGTAGAGATCTTTTGTTTGATTCATGTTATTTATAGATCCTGATGCGCCAAGCCGCAAAGAACCTAAATTCAGAGAGTGGCATCACTGGCTTGTCACAAATATTCCAGGAAAAGATGTTTCCAAGGGTGAAGTTTTGTCCCAATACATTGGCTCTGGGCCACCCCCTAATACTGGTCTTCACCGTTATGTCTTCCTAGTCTACAAGCAGCCAAGCAAATTAAAGTTTGATGAAAAACATCTCACTAATCGTAGTGGTGATGGGCGTAACAACTTCTCCATCAAGAAGTTTGCCCAAAAATATAATTTAGGAAATCCAGTAGCTGGTAATATGTACCAAGCTGCCTTTGATGACTATGTGCCAAAATTATACAAACAGCTTGAGGGCTAAATCATTCTAACAATTTTAAAGAGTAGAAAAACACTAAAGTCACAATTGATATTGTGTCTTATTTATTTTACATTTAAAATGAATTCCAGAATTATGCTAAAATAATAATTAAGAAGTATTTTTTAATTCTGTGGTGACTTTATTATCGTTTTTCTATAAGATGGCTTAAATGCACAAATATATATATTAATAAATTTTTCAAATAAATACTCCATATTTTGCAAATCTGTATTTTTATTGTTTGAATATCCATGTTGTTTCAGACTGTACAGTGTTATTTATTTTGGAAACTTATTGGTAATGTATACAAGAAATTGTATTTTCAAATTGCAATATATGCATCAAGAAATAAGCACTCTGACGTAGATCAATGAAGTTAAATCGCGACATACATTTCGTATAGTAGATAGATATAATTCCTAAATTGAGTTATAATAGAGTTAAACTACTGATATTTACGCATCCGTCACAAAATTGACTACTCGGCCTTGTTTATTTCATGTATTGTCGCTATAGAAAATTATAGTGATGTAATGCATCAATTGGGCTATAAATTTGTTCGTGTACGGGTATCTGCCATCAGTCTGCATCCGACCACACTCAAATATGAAACTTTTGTTATCAGGTATATTTCAACTAATTTTTAGTTTTATTGTTAAAAGATCTTAGTCTTTGATTTAATTTAGCTTCATATTGTTTTTATAATGTACAGCCATCAGCGTGGCGCTAATTATTCAATTTGCAAAAAATGTCATAAAATGTAGATTTTTATATAATCTTTCTACTAAAGTAAGACGAACTAAAGCATTCAAATTCTAATTTGTGAAATGTATACAGCGGGTTTGCTTCTTTGCTCATATGCCTGCGCCACGGATATTCCAGCGGAATTCACGTCCGCTGGTATAGTACCAGATGTGTTGACGAAGGCACCCAGTGAACTGCTTTCGGTAACTGTTGCTTTGATATTTAAACCGCAATCCAAGATTCGTCGATACTCGATCATTGGCTGATTGTTCTGGCGTGTAACACAGGCGACTTACAAGGATGGCGATAAAGATAAAGATGTGCATTTCGGAGAGGAACTCACGCCCACGATTGTAAAGGATCCTCCGGCATTGAGTTGGATGTCCGAAGATTCTTCTCACTACGCTATACTCATGGTCGGTAAGTAATCACAGGCGTCCGTAACGGCTGTCGCTCTACGAAGCAGACGTGGTAATTTTTCACGGCAAGGATTTGAACGTACAACAATAGGGCACTCGCGACTGATCGGAAAAAGTGATATTTCGATTTAGAACAATTGGCAGGTCGAGTTGGTAAAGGATATACGTTGCTCGCACACAGATCCCGATGCACCAAGCCGTGAAGATCCCAAGTTCCGCGAGATGCTGCACTGGCTGGTGGCCAACGTGCCGGGCTCCGACTTGAACAAAGGCGAGGTGATCGCGGAGTACGCGGGCTCGGCGCCGCAAAAGGAGACAGGCCTGCACCGCTACGTGATGTTGGTGTTCAAGCAGCCGGACAAGCTGACCATCGAGGAAGCGCGCATCAGCAATCGCGAGCGCACAGGCCGCCCTGCCTTCTCCGTCAAGGCCTTCGCTGCCAAATACAAGCTCGGCGACCCCATCGCCGGCAACATGTTCAGGGCTCAATGGGACGAGTACGTGCCGATTCTGCGCAAGCAGATGGGCGACGAGTCGTAAGAGTTGCGACCGCATACCTCCTCGTAGCGCATTGCTTCCTTAGTCGACATATCCGCGGTTCGGAGATGTTTCTCATTATCAACGAATTGTAGCGCTTAGGTTTTGTATGCTTGCTGATGCGGCGCTCGATTAATACACCATTACTTTCGAATGCTCTACCGAGTTCTTTTATTTTTACCTCGATCGAAAATTAATGACAGGCGATTCCATGCTAAAATTAAGAGGAATGCCAGTTCCGTCAAGATGATCCGTTGCCGAGTTGAATATCTTTGAGCTTTCCACTTATATTTCAAAAAGTCTGCATTTTCACCGGTGACAAGTGCATCATATTCTTGGCAATTTCTCCTTTGTACTTTTTCTCCTATACTCGTTTTCTAATGAAAGAAAACAATTTTCAAAACAACCTTCCGTTTCAATTTGTTAATATAAAATGCCAAAGAAAAAGAAATGATATGTCAATACCTTATTCATTCAGCAGTGCCATGCGTATAGCTGCTGTCGTAAAGTACGATCGCGTGTATGTGATAATGTTAAATCGAGTATGTACGTATTACTATATAACATCTAGGTCTAGGTGCAAGAATATTACCATTCTTGCGTAACACACGTCATTTACCGTAACCTTTTCATTTTTCACCATAAGCCCGCTCGACCACAGCCCTTATCAATTTTTCCTTGCATATTGTTAGATTTATAATTGATTTGTTGAACGCTTTATATACTCAAGCTAATATAATAATCGTAAAAAGAATGAAAGCCGACGGCTTTTAATGACAATGAGTATCACTATTTGTCAAAGAAAAGTGAAAAAAAAACATCTTTACAAGAAACATGATTTACTTAAAAGTGATACGAGGAAAGAGACTCGATCGGTTCTGATTTCCAATTTCTATAATGGCATTGCGCGTACGTCGCAAGTCATGTGTCGATTTCTCTTTTTATTATACAAGAGAGCGTGTAGTCGCGAAGAAGAAAAACCATTTAACGCATCGTTGTTGTCGAGCAACATTTCAACGGTTTTTACGCGACAATTCGATTGTTCAGTATTTCTTATGACGAACCCGATTCGTCCGACAAACTGCGGCGACCTTGATCGGGTCGGTTTTTTATCGCGATGCAAAAGCAGACCGCGTACACGCGTGTGACGTCACGGGCGAACGAACTATCGAAAGTATAAGTTTCGGTCAGCGCGAGAAACCAGTTGCAGTCTTTGGCACAACGTCGAAGAAGGATGAACCTCGTAGCAGCAGGTACCTTCTCCATTTCGTTTTCTAACGCATTAGCTTTCACTTGAATTAACTGAGCGCATCATTTATTAATTGTATCGCAATTATTCTGCAACAATTCAGAACATAAATGCGTTTATACCGATTGCTTCGTTGCCAAGCGTTTCCCGATAGTCAATCTATCTTCTTATTTTACAGCAGCCGCCGTATTTCTTTTGGGCGTCGCAGCAGCCAATGTGGCATTAGAGTTCAAAGCTGCCAATATCGAACCTGACATTATAGATATATCGCCGAATGAAACAATCGAGGTACATTTTTCAAACAATCGATACTTTCAAAGTAGCTCGTAGAACTTGGTCATAATTCTTTCTTTCTAATTTACAGATTAAATATGGAAAGAAAGAGATACAATTAGGCACCGAGATCACTCCAAGCGAAGCTAAAGACATCCCTGAAATCCACTACAAATATCAAGGCGGAATTTTGTATACGCTTGTGATGACAGGTATGCGCGTATTCGATTTGATTTAATGTGCGTTAGATTGCTAAAATATTGTATAATCGTCGAGTTTAGCCGAAAGTGAATGGGTAAAAGTCACCAGCGAAAAGTCGGAAGACTTTCTTCTTAACGATCTCAAAGGCATTTTGAAATTTCTAAATGAAACAAGTAGTGCCGAGAAGTGTGACGAAATTCATCGATTATCAAAAACCATAATAGCAAACGTGATTGAACGTAGAGTCAAACAGCTAAGTTGTACTTTCACCGCGGAACAGGTTTCTCCTGATTTGCGTCTTCCTCCACACGCGTAGCCTTTATTGTGCTTCGAAAGGCTGCATTGGTAAATGCCATCAAGCGTAATTTGTATATATCACATCGTTTATTCGACAAAAAACGACGAGGGTAAGCAACCCGGCTCTTGTTTGGATTTGCCAGTCGTGGTTTTTTAATTTAAAAAACCGGCTTTTTATTTGAGAAAATCACTCGAGGACCAGTATCATTCTTTTATCTTTTATGTAGCTTAGAGAAAAATATATTGGACGCGCATTATGAATAAATAAATATTTTTGATATTTTACTTTCAAGACCCAGACATTCCGGTAAGAGGCTACAATCGCGAATGGCAACACTGGGTCGTTGGAAATATACCAGAAGATAAAGTTGCCAAGGGAGAAGTTTTAACTGAATACGTTGGTCCGGCACCTCCAAAGAATTCTGGCCTTCATCGCTACGTGTTCCTTTTATACAGACAAAATCAAGGCTCCATTACCTTCGACGAAAGACGTATCGGAAACAGGTAAAGTGTTTCTAAAGACACAAATATTAACCAACGAAAATTAATTAATATTTTTTCCATTCGGTAAAATCTACATGTGCTTTATTAAATTCGGAATTATTGTATGTTTTACTGTTTTAATGGTTAAGTAGTAGCGTGCGGGAGAGCATCAAAAGTGGTAAAGGTAATGAAGTCAATGAATGGTAATGAGATATCAATTATCTTGAAAACCACAAGTATATATTATATTAGCAAGAGGAAAGAGACACAAGACAAAATATGACTTACTCTCACGACCGTTTGTCTTGAACTGACGAAGGTTCCGGCGTACTTGAACGCTTTTTTTATTTTCAGGGACAAGAGAAGAAACCGTTTTTCAGTTAAGAGATTCGCTAAAAAGTATAACTTGGAAGGACCCATCGCTGGAAATTACATGAAAGCACAATACGACGATTATGTTCCTGTGGTCCAGAGGCAAATTGGAATTTACTGATTGCAAACTGACATTATCAATAATCACGCACGCGCTTTTTCATAATACAGCTACACCGTACCACATACAGCCTAATGAGACTGACTGATTTTGTGAATCTCCTCAACCGTTTGGATATTTTATAATCTACATTGCAACCGTGATTGTTAATACTATTGACGAAAATTATTAAATATATCGAGGAAAAATAAATTTTTTTTTAAAATCGTAATTGAAAATGTTCGATCGCTCACAGAAATTAACTAAGAACCAATGTGGGGTAAAGACACCAGTAGTCGGCTACTTTTTTACTACCTTTAATAAATAAGATGCAGAATCTTTAAAATGGAATTATTTTATGAATGTTACTACTGAGGCTTTCGGAAGCATATCACGAAAAAAACAACAATTAACAAGTATTTTTTATGTATCTTAATGCTATGCTAAAAATCGGTGTATTTTCTTATAGTCCCTGTGTCAATGTAGAATTTCTCAAAGTAAGTTTTTACGTACTTTTAACTGAAAATTTTTTTATAAACTTATTAAAGAGTATTAAATATTGAATACCGACTCATAAAATTATTAATAAAACATTAAGAGTTATTTTTGATTGCGTCCGACTACAAATACTCAAATTAAAAAATATTTTAATAGTCGGCACATATTAAATCTTTCAAATTTAGAGATCACTCATTGTGCTTTTTCAAAATTTCTTTTGAATTCTGTAGACAGTTAAACAAAAATGAGTGAAAGCATCGAGAATTTCATATCGAAAAGCGATTGAGACATACGTGCAATAAAAAAAATCACAATTATACCAATGCATTAAAGAAAAAAGAAAAAAATCAACTTTGAGCATAACTACATGGTTATGTACCAAATGAAAGTCCACGTATAGGTCCAGAGTCCACAGATATTTTGCAAACATACTTTGTATTAGTTTAAACTCGAAGTAAATCTTAATTGGCTGTCTACTAAAATGTATTCACTCTATTATAATTATTTTTACGCGAGTTATCATTGAAAAAACTATTAGTTGTTATTTTATTAGTAAGCGACTCGATATAATAATCTGAGCTTAACTAATCTAGTTGAACTAATTTCATTTATAAAATAGTTATACATAAAAATGTTAAGTTCTAGTTTGATGATAAAAAACGTGTTATTCTATAAGGGCGAGACTGCATCATTGAATTTATAAGTAGTACTTTTTTTAAAAGTTCAAATTAAAGTAGTCGGGTATTGGTGCATTGGCCTTAATTCAACTTATTTTAATAATAATATTAACTACAAGAATCATCAAAATTCAAACTTAATTAATTTCATTTCAGTGAAACATGTGTATAACATATTTATTAGCAGCTCGCGTAGTTATGTGTAATCATTCACGACCGATTGATCAAAGTCAATTTAACCTAACAATTTATTTCTATTAAGGAACAATGTTTGTCTGTTTATTGTATAAAACACCTTAAAACAAATCGAAACTTTAAAAAATAAAAAAATGCATTAAACAATGCAGTGAGCATGCGCAACAAGCAGGAAGGAGTAAGACTCAAAAGAAGTGCATATGCGCATTGTCACGTGATCAGTTCTATGACTTTCATGACGGCGAGGGAATTCAGGAATATTCGCCGTTTCATTGATGACAGTGACATGAAAATTGAAGCATTTACAGTAACTTATGATGACACGTTGTTGTGAGTTAATCAAATGATCACTTTCATATTTTTTAATTTTTTAATCAGTAATGTTTATTTACACCACTTTCCATGTTCAACAGAAAGTATATCAGCAGTCAATGTTCGCCTACCAAAGAACAAGCAAGCGTCTATAATGGCTATGACGATCGCCATTTTGGTGCAGCGTCAACCAGAAAGCGTCAACTGATGTAAATCAACGGTCATTTCGAGGCTTGGTCACTTTCAACAAGTTGTATTTTGTTTTAAATTTGATGGATAGAAATACTGGACTTTTGAATTGCATTCCAATCATTTTGAGGTATAATTTATTATTACAAAAATTTATTTTCTTTTAACAAGTGTTATTAATGTAGGTATAGGTTAACTACTATTCTGAAATGTTTTAGGTTTTAAAAAAAGATTATTTTCAAAAAATAATTTGTTTAAAATGAAGTTGAAAAAAATTCTTGAAAACAGTTTTTCTCTACAACCAAAAGAAGCAAATCAAAAACTTGAAATTTATAAGTGTAAATATTGTGGTCAGACATATGCACGTCATATAACACGGATGAGTATACATTTATTAAAATGCAGTGGATGTCCAGCAGCCGTAAGAGAATTATTACAAGAAAAAGTTAAGGGAAAGATTTTAGAGTCTTCTAAGCAGTTGTTCAATAAAAAAGGACAAATAAGAAATCTGAAAAAAATTTTAGAAGAGAATTTTCAAATGATACCTAGAGATGGGAGTCAAAAGTTGGACATTTTTAAATGTAAACATTGTGAACAAAAGTATGCACGTAATGCTTCTCGGATGAGTTTGCATTTACAAAAATGCTCTGATTGCCCAGTGGAAGTTAAGGAAGCATTAGAAGCTAATGTTAGAGGAAATAATGCTCATAAGGTATCCAGAAGATTGATACCGAAAAAAGTATTAGAAAGTAGTTTTATTTTGCAGCCAAAGGAACCAAATCAGAAACTGCAAACATTCAAATGTAAATATTGTGGCCAAGTTTATGCAAGACATTCAACACGTATGAGTATACATTTACAAAAATGTATAGGTTGTCCTGGATCAATCAAAGACTCACTTAGTGATAAATCAAAAAGTAAAAGAGATCAAAAGAAAATTGATATAAAAAGGAGAAATTCAGAGAGTGAAGATTTAATGAGTGATGAGGAAAACAATACTTCCATAATGCAAATGTCATCTGATAATATATATTTTAATGAATCTGCAAATGAAACAAATTTTATTGATAGAATGACAAAACAAAGACAAAGGTACTGTGAAGAACTTCTTGCTAAAGCTATATATGCATCCAATACACCGATCAGTATTATTGACAATGATCATTGGAGAACATTATTAAATACTTTGAGTCCTGCTTTTCAATTGCCCACTCAACATCAGCTCTCAACAACTTTATTAGAAACAACATATGAAAGTGTTAAGAAAAGCATTGATCAAAAAGTTAGAGATGCTATTTCTCTTGGATTACAATGCAGTTATAGGTCAAATGCTAGGAATGAAGGTATTATTCAATTTGTGCTAACAACACCAGATCCTGTATTGTATAAGTCAATTTCTTTGTCTTCAAATGCAGAAGATGAGAATTTATACTTGGAAAAAATAAGTGAAGTGATTGATGAAGTAGGAGCAGAAAGAGTTTTAGGTGTTTGTTTGGATAGTTTAACAGCATGTGAAAATTTGTATGAACTGTTGCAACAAAAATATGAAGAACATAATATTGCTTTTTATAATTGCTCTTCTCAAACTCTTGACCGATTGCTATCAGTCATAGATGATCGTGCTTCTGTAATCACTCTTGTAAAAAATGCTTCAGCTGTGATCAAGGAAATAAAACAGTTTGATGTAATAGCATCTTTACTAAGTGAGGCTCAAAAAAGTGTTGCTGAAAAGAACCAAGATATTGTTAAACTAAAAGTACTAGGAAATAAAAAGTGGAGTTCATCATTAATTTGCCTGTATGCACTGTATGAAATTAAAGAAAATTTGCAACTTCTTGTCTCTTCTCCAAAAGTGGAGGGATACATAAACAAAGGTGTAAAAGAACTTATTACCGATGAAGAATTTTGGTCAAAACTAAACAGTTATACCAAACTTATCAGGCCTATTATTAAATGGATTGTACACTTAAATATTGAAGAGGCTAAAATTAGCGAAGTTCCCGAAGTTTTTGCTGATTTAGAGCAACACTTTCTTACAGAATTTCAAGAGTCATCTCTCTTACTAATGACAGTTGAAGAATCTAATAGAGTTCTTGAACGTTTCAAGACATTGTCGTCTGCAGTTTTGCAACCCATACACTTTGCAGCAAACATTTTGAATCCATTACTTAAAGGTGAACATTTGAGTTCTCCAGAGTTTGTGTTAGGAACTGAAATGATAAGTAAATTGCCATCTAAATTTGGAATGCCTGAAAATGACGTACTTGTGGATTTAGCAAATTACAGTTCTGGAAAAGGAGTATGGAGTGTAAATTTTGTAAAAAGGTCTATTACACTAATGCCACCATCAACTTGGTGGAATGGTTTCTTCAAAAACTCTTTCTTAACTAAAATAGCTGCTGCTATATTGGACTTACCGAGTACATCTTTGGCACCAACAGATAGAGTAGAGAAAAGAATTTCTCTGAAAGATGATCCAACAGGAAAAATTATGTATATAAGTCAAAACCTTCGACTACTTGATCCTAAAAGAACTGAGAAAAATAATAAATGTCCAACAGAAGTTCAAGAAAAAATTGAACAAGAACTGATGATGGAAGATATTGAAGGATATAATGAAGAAATGGAAGAAGTGCTTGTTGAAGATCCAGAAGAAGTGATGGATGAAACTGAAGAAATAACTGGTGACCCTGATAGTACAGATATGCGTGAAGTTACTGGAGATGAAGCAAATGGAGAAGTGTATATTCAAATTATTGATGGTACAGATACCTTCTATGTGGAAAATGTGTTGTAATTAGATAATCTTTGTTGAATGATTTTACAAAAAGGTGACTTAAATGTCATCTATTAATGATAATCTTGTAATTGTATGCACATCAGTTATAATTGAATACTATTTTTAACTAATTTAGTATATGTAACTGATAAAATGTAAATCACACTTGTAATAAAATAAGTGTACGTTTTTATTTCTGATAATGATATTTTTCACTTTATTCATTTCAAAATATATTCTTACGTTAACCTCTTACAGCGGCTTAATATAGGATTTTTAATTTTGACCAATTGAAAAATGCTGTCATGTAACTATGTAATATGGCGACTGTCGTTCCCCTGCTAGTTTGTACTTTGTAGTTAGATCAGAGATAATCAGAGACTAGTAGTCTCTGGAGATAATATGGTTTTCCCACGTGCTGTCCGCTTATAAAGCGTAAATATGAGCTTAAATTAATTGCAATTTATTTTCTAATAAGAGAATAAAAGATAAAAATTAATAACAATGGTGCAAGAAACTCATCGACCAGGATTGTTTAAAAAACCAAACAAACCTCATAAAACTGGAAGGCATAGGAGCAAAGGTTCTATTTCAAATGATGCTCGAGGTGTGACTTTAATTTATGATTATAACTATTTTAAATATTTTTTTAAGCTATAAACTACGATTTTTTTGAGTCGTCATGTTAACTTTTTTAAAACCATTGGATTTAATATTTTAAACATGAGGTAATAATTAATTTTAAGTCGTATTTGTAGGTACTGAAAAAACCTAACCTACAAATTTTCAATAATTGTTCAACCTTTCACAATTATTTAGATACATAGCGATATTACGTATATTTTGAAAGTTGGAATATGATATTTAAAATTATTTTCTTAATTTTCAACATGATTTTACTAAATATTGAAACAAATGCAGGTCGAATATCTGTCAAAAAAATCACAAAACATGCAAAAAAAGAATTGGGTAAAGAAGCTAGAAGAAATCAATTGCAGCAAATTCGTTCAAATAAACGCGAAGAAGTCTTGAAAAAGAAGCGAAATTTTGGTAGCGCTCAAAGTCCACCTATCTTGATAGCTATTGTGGCTCTACAAGAAGATATAGATATCAACAAAGTTATCAGATTATTAGAAAGTGCTGATGATGAAGCAATTATTTCGTCAAGTTCATGTGCTAGACATATTAGGTACTTTTTGATTTTAATTATATACTTGCTCAGTGAAAATAATAATTAATTTAAACTATTCTTTACAGTCTACCAAGATTCAAACAAAGATTTTCCATAGCAACTCCTCCTATAGGAAATACTTTCGCAACATTAGACTTAGCAAAAGTAGCAAATACAATATTATTTATTACTTCAGCAGTACATGAATTAGATAAAAGTCAAAGACAAGAAGTGCTTGATTGTTGGGGTGAAGAAATAATTCAAGCTAGTATTTCTCAAGGCTTAGCAACACCAATTGTTGCCATCACAAATTTGGAAAGTTTACCTGTTAAGGTATTGTATTTTGTATATTTTGTATACTTCAAATATTTTTATTCAAGGCATTTGTAATTTCTTCATTTTGGTTCTAATACTTCTAGAAAAGGCAAGATCACAAGCAATATGTTCAGAAAACATTATTTAAATGGCTTCAGGAGGACAAAATTATGAGTCTAGATAAACCTGCAGATGCATTAAACATATTGAGACGAGCTGGATCACAAAAACAAAGAAATGTTATTTACAGAAATAAAAGATCTTTTCTTTTTGCTGAAAATGTTAAATTCAATTTAGATGAAAATGTAAGTCTTATTAGTTCAAAATTTTCAGTTAAATCTTGAGTTAGGAATATAATTCAGTTATTTTCAGAATTCAACAAATGATTTCGGAACTCTGGAATTAACAGGGTATTTACAAGGTTTACCATTATCAGTAAATGGTTTAATTCATATTCCCAATTTTGGAGATTATCAAATGTCTCGTATAGAAGAGATAAAAGACCCTTTTCCTGTAACACTCGAGAGAACATCACCTGGAACAGATGTTAAAATGGATGAAGAGAGAAAAGTTCTTGCAGTTGCTGACTCTTCTAAACAGGTATATTCAAAATATAGTCAGTGCTTTATGTTGTTTTTACTTATAATTATTCATTTCTTTCAGGAATCACTAGAATCTGAAATTATACCAGATCCAATGGCCCAAGATCAAACTTGGCCAACAGAAGAAGAAATAGCAGAGGCTGAAAAAGAGCGTAAAATAGTTAAGCGTGTACCAAAAGGTACATCTGATTACCAAGCATTTTGGATCCCTGATGAAGGAGGTAAAACCTATTTTATTTTCGTTCAAAACGTAAGTTTAGTTTTATTTTTATCAATTTTATTGTATAAATATTTTGTAGAAGAAGCAGACGATTATAATGATGACGATGATGATGAAGAAGAAGGGATGGCTATTGATGAAGCTAAATCTGAAGTGGATAGTGATGCGGGAGGTGAACCTGCAGTCGATGATGAATACGAAACCATTACTATTTCAGAAACCACTAATGAACAACGCTATGACGATAAAATGGATTTGTACGAAGAAAAACAGGCACTATTAAAATTAAAAGGTACTGAATAAAAACTTAAAGCAAACGTTCTAAATTTTTAATAAACGTATTATTTCATATTACAGAAGCAAAACTTGATGTTCAGTTTCCCGACGAAGTCGATACTCCTCAAGATATATTAGCTAGAGATCGATTCCAAAAATACCGAGGCCTAGATTCATTCCGTAATACTCCTTGGGATAAGAAAGAAAATTTACCATATGATTATGGCAGAATATTCCAGTTTGAAAATTTCGACCGGACTCGTCGACGTGTTTTTAGAGAACGAGAGGAATTGTCTGAAGTCCAAGTATGTTTTTCATTTTTCTTATTACTTATAGTACACTGTGTACTGCTTGTTTCATAATTAATAATTGTTAATTACAGCCTGGATCTTATGTTACGATTCATATAAATGGTGTTAGTAAGGAATTATTTGAAGCTTACCGAGTTGTAGACGATCAGCCATTGTTGTTATTTGGTATTTTACAATATGAGCATAAAATATCAGTTTTAAATTTCCTATTAAAACGGACATCAAATAATGAAGAGCCAATTAAATCAAAAGAACGCTTGATATTCCAGTGTGGATTCAGACGATTCACTGCATGTCCCATCTTCAGTCAACACACCAATGGCAACAAACATAAAGTAATTATTCGCCAAAAGTAATTAATTAAATCGAATGAAAATACCTTCATCAATAACAATCTAAATTATTATAGTTTGAAAGGTTTTTCCAACCAAGTAGTACTGTTGTGGCTACGGTATTTGCTCCGATTACGTTTCCACCATGCCCAATATTATGTTATTTAGAAAAAGAAAATGGGATCTTGGTATGTTTAAGATCTTATTAAATTTATCATCAAAATTAAGCTTAAATAATATATAATCATCTTATTTTTTAATAAAAATTAGGAATTAATTGCAACTGGAAGTTTACTATCAGTTAATCCAGATAGAATGGTAATTAAAAGAGTTATTTTGAGTGGTCATCCATTGAAAGTACACAAACGTTCAGCTGTGATAAGGTTTATGTTCTTCAATAGAGAAGATATACATTGGTTCAAACCAGTGAAACTACGCACGAAGTATGGACGTAAAGGGCACATTAAAGAACCACTTGGTATATATTTTTAATAAAATTTTTAAAGCCAGCAATGGTCATTTACATTTATGTAAAATATGTGTGAACATTGATTGAAATTTTCATTTTTTATTTTCTATAGGAACACATGGTCATATGAAGTGTATTTTTGATGGTCAATTAAAGTCTCAAGACACAGTTTTAATGAATCTTTATAAAAGAGTTTATCCAAAGTGGACTTATGAGCCCTTGCTTTTAACTAATACGAAAAAAGATTCTGGAGATGTAAATATGGAGTAAAGTTACATGCCAACGTATGTATTATATAATTAGTTTTTATGTCAAATAATTTATTACACATTGATATATGAAACGTGTAATAAATGGAAATTTATATTAAGTTTATAAATATATTTTTCATTTTGATATTGTTCACTCACACAATTTTGCAATTAAATATAAATGACTGACCTTTCACATAAATGATTGAACACCAAAAAATAATAATCATGAAATATAGTTGGATGACAGGTTTATTTCAAAGTATATTATGCTTAATCACAGCATTATATTCTGCTTCCTTCACTCGTTACAATTATCAATATCCACATCACTCTGTACATATTTAAAACGAACTGCTGTACAGTAGAAAATTGAAAATATTACAGAGTTCATGCGTTTATTTACATTTTGGGATAAATTATGTTCATTTACATGTAATTTTAACAAAAAAAATAATTTACCTAATTAATTAATTAAAAACACTAAAAATGGTTTTATGAAACAAATTAAAATGATAAACGCCCGTTTAAGATTCACTTTAAAGTGTAAATAATAAAAAAAATAATTGAAAGAATACTACCTACATTTTTTACATTTAAGAGACACCTCATATCTTTGAACTTTTATCTTATAAGCTAAATTAGAAAAAAGTGATACGAGACATTTACTAAATTACAAATTTACGCGACTTTAATCGCAGATAACTGCCTTGTTTGATGAATACAATTAAATTTGAAGGCTGTTTTTTTCTGAAATTGCTTTGACAGTTGAATATAATGCTACTATACACATGGCAAATTTTTTTGTTGAACGTATCAGTCACTGAAGTTTATAATTTATGTACATTGTCACACTCACTCTACTAAGAAAAAAGTATACACCAATTGTAACAAAAGTATAAAAGTGAAATGCGCATTCAAGCTCATACTTATGAATAGCTGTCATCACAGATGACGTACTGTATACGACTACTTTTGAATAAATTAATACCTTTTCCTTCATGTCGATAAGTAAAGTCTATGATAGTCGTTGGCTCCAAAGGCACAGTTACACTTTGGACATTTTCTTTGACGTGTCTCGTATCGAGTTCGCAGACAATCCCAGCAAAAGACATGGAAGCACTTCGTAAGCACAGCGTCTTTTCTTTTGACTTTACATGATGGACACGTAAGCGTTTCTTTGTACTCTCGAAGTTCTTCCGCCATTACTTCATCTACAGTTTCAGCCATTTCGAGCTTCTTCATTCTTTCTACTTTACGCCGTAATTGAGCTATCTCCTCCTGAAAAATGATCATTCAATAGTGAAATCTCTTATTGTGCTTGTTATTATTTATTGTCATATACTCACTTGTAGTCTTTTGGTTTTATAAGCTTCTGCTTCTAAAGAACTAGTTTTTTCAGCTACAACTTGTTGAGCTTCTTTCATTTGAGAGTGATACTTTTCTAAAATTTTCAAATACAACACTTAAAATAATTTACGAAAGACAAATTTTCAATTTCAACGTTATAACAAATTAACAATACTTACCAAGATGAAGTTTTAAATCTGCTGCAGATTGAGCACTTTCAATAGCTTTTCTTTTGTGCATTTCCATCGCTTGTTGACGTAATGCGAGCTCTTTTTCAACGGTAGCCAATGAGTTTTGAAGCAAACGTTCTTTTTCTTCTAATTTTCTTACAACCACATTAGCTGCTTCCACTTGGGTTGTTAGTGTTAAAACTTGCTCTTTCAGAACATCTTTCTCTTCTCTAGCAAGTTTATGCAATTGATTACTTTTAATTCTTTCAGTCATTAGCTTGAAATTAGCATCGTCCTTTTCACGTAACTGTTGAATTAATCTAGAATTTTGTTCCTGCATATCTTCGAATGCTTGCCCTGTGACTTCCATCTCATTCAAAAGAGCTTCTTCTTCCTGCAAGAAAACACGATCCTATTAAAAGTTAAGTCATTGATTATAATGGAGACAAATTGATTTCTTATATTCTAAGTTATTTGCTCAATAAACTAGGTAGGTATATTTGTTATTTAAACAAATACACAAGGAAAATTGATTACAATGATTTTTGAGCAGTTGTTAAAAGACAAACTGTAGAGTAAGACAATTACCTGTTTCTGTGTAGCAACCTGTCTTTGTAACGAATAAGCCTGCTCTTCCAATTTTTTTATTTTAATTTGAGCATCTTCATCGGCCAATTTCTTACGTTCTTCGCGTTTTCCGTCCTGAAAAGAAAACGTACACATACGAAGCATTAATAATGTGTTTACATCCATAATAAGCAGATAAAAACTTGAAAAAAAAATGTCATTAATACCATATTAACCTGAATTTTTTTCAGTTGCTGTTTCACTTCTTCTAATTCAGCTCTAGTTTTACGTTCAGCGGCCATTAGTTGAGCTTTGTCGCGTTGCTCTTTACTGAGAGACTTGTACATGTCCAAAAGCAGTTTCATTTCTTTCATATCATTAACAGCTTTCCTATTAAGACGGCATATTATTTTGAATAAATTATTTGTTTCAAATAGTGGACTGTGCTTTTAATAATACATACTTCAACTGAATTTTCAATTCTCTCACTATTTCAGATTCCGCAACTTTAACGTCTTTAGTTCGATGTGTTGGATCCCGATGTTCTGTTTTAATTGACTCTTTCTTTATATCTTTCTCGCGTTTAATATCCTTTTCTTTTTTAAGAGTTGGGGATGATAAATTATGTGAATCAGAATTAGCTTTATCTCCATCTCCTAATTCGTTGTCAGCATCTTCATCCGTACCTTCTCTCTTTATCGTCATACCACCTTCTTCTTTTATCTATTAATTAAAAATACGTAGTTAATGAAATTGCGAAAATTACAATACTTTATATGAACGCGCTAAATAACTTACTTGACCAGATCCTGGCAGAGAATTGGAAGTGTCTTCTTCCTTTCCACTACCATCAGAATTACTACCCTCCTTATTTTCTTGAGCTATTTGTTGTCCAAGCTTTGTTGTTAATTCTTCGACTTCTTTCTTGAGCTGCAAATAATGTAAAATTACACAATTTATTGATAAGGCGATTAAAGTTCAGTATAAAATCCTACATTTAATACTTACTCTAGGAACTTCAGAAGAAACCTCTTTGTATTTACGCTTATAACGATGAACTTCACCTTTTAGTTGTTGATTATGATTTTGCAACGAGGTTATGAGGTGTCTCATTTCTCTATTAATAGGACCTGTTTGTTCATTAGCTGCTAAATTTTGTTCAAATTCAATGCGTAGCATTTCATACTCTTTCCGCAATTGAGCTAACACATCTTCTAATTGAATACATTCACCTCTTAATTTTTTCTGAGCCATCAATTCTTCACTCTAAAATAATTTTGCATTAAATTCGATAGCATGTTTTATAAACGAATCAATAATGTATCTGCTTACCTCCATCATTTCAATATGACGCAAATGAGCATTTTTGCTTGATTGAAGTTGTTGTCGTGCTTCATCTAACTGTGTTTTTAATTGCATTGATTCATTATACAAAACTGAAAATTGTGACTGCAAACATTTGTATTCTGTTGTTTCAACAATAACTGATTCTGGTAATTGCCGGATCTAAATAAAACAAAATAGAAATATATACTTTGCATATTTTCAACAATAAACATACATATCATCAACAAATGCAAATTCTTACATCCATTTTTAACTTTTCTACTTCTTTCAAAGCATCTCGGTGTTGTTGATGCAGCTTATCTAACTCCTGTAATCTGTTATTAGATAATTCACGAGTTTCTTCCAACTCTCTTTGTAAATCCTCCAACTATGCAAATAAGAAAAATATATGAAATAATATTTTGACAAGTTGATTGATATATTGCTGCTGAGATTAAACTATACCTTAGTTTGTGATACTCCCGTAGCAACTATAGTATTAGGTTTATTATTTCCTTTTTCATCTGAACCATGAATTTGTTGGAATGTTTTAAGTTTTTCAATAGCTTCACCCAGATGATGTTCTAATTTATCATTTCTTGCTCTTACTTTGTTAAGTTCATACTGTAAATCGTCTATTTGATTACGAAGTTCAGCTGCCAAAGTGTCTTTACCAGTAATAGTATCTTGTAGTTCTGACATTTTTAGAGAAATAGTATGATATTTTTCATGCAGTTGAATATTTATTGCTTGTAAATTTCTATTTTCCATTTGAATTTCACTATTAGCTTTCTTTACAACTTCATCAATGTTTGGTGCTTCTTCTGTGAAATAAATATACAATAATTTATTGTAAGCAGTTTCATAAATTATAATAATAATGAAACTCCATATTTACCACCATCATATTCTCCTTTCAAAGCCATTGTAATCTTTTCATTTCTTTGAGAAAGTCTATCAAAAGCCTGTACTACTTTAGAGACAGCACGCTTAGAAACTTGTACACGATGAGCAAGTTTGTCGTCTAATTCTTCTTTATCCCAGGAAGACAGTTGCATTAGAAAAGAAGTGGTAGCTTCACTTTCATCTACAAACAGAGATTTTTCTTTAATTTTAATATTTTTATTATTAAGATATATTACATCCAAGTAACATACTTTTATTTTCTGATTCATCTGCAGTTTCTGCATCAAATCGTTGTAATAACACACGAATATCTTCATTAAGCTGATTCCAATAGCGATTAACAACGTTTAGCACTGCATCATCTTGAGTTTGTCGCTTTTCTAATTGTTCTATTCTTTGCCTGAGCTCGGTTTCTACACGATGCCTTTGCTCTAACCTCTAATTGATGAAATTTAAGAATTCAATTAATAAGATTATAAATATATTTTAAAAATCATTATAATTTAACTTTATTTTTTTTATCAATTTCAAGTTGCCACCTTGTAAATTTGGCTATAATAATAATACAAATAGTTGTATCATACAAATATTATTTGACATTTTTGATTCTGTTAAAATTAAAGCTAGGAATTTTCAATGGTATGCATTCCATTTCTTATTGCATATTAAAGATATACATAATAATTGATAGATTGCTTTTTTTATGTGACTTCAAACAATAATCGTTAACTCGATTGGCCTATATTTTATTGTCTATGAGACATGATTATTATACCTGAGCAAGCTTTCTATTCTGGAACTGTAAAACTTTCATATCCATCTCCTCCAAAGTGGAAATAGGTCCAATAAGTATAGGCTCAAATTGAACCTTCTTAATAGGAGGTTGAGAACTGGAGTCCACACTGTCAGCAGATCTCTTAGACATCTTTTTGGCTTATTATTTCAATCTCGATTCTGTAAATAAATAACAAGCAAAGTTATTTAATTTTTTTTTTGTAAATAACTAAAATGCAAAGTAAACTATTGTATTGATTTATGTTAAAATGGAAATGAATTAGAAAGAGAGTGTGTAGACCTTGATACCTCAAATACAAAAGTTGACTTTGATGTAATGTATTCGTTAACTTCCGTTAAATAAATGTAGTCCTCGTGAAATTATGTCATGCTCAGGTGCAGATCGTTAAAGAAGGAGAAATTAGTGTAAAGCCACTTGGATATCCTTGCATTTTTCGAGGCGATGGCAGCTAAAATTAAGGAGTTCGCTCTACGGAACGGAAGACGCCATTGTAGACTCGCAGAATAAAGACTCGGGTTCCTATTTGGTTGCAGAACGCGGGGCCAGAGAATGCGTACGCGGCGCTCAGCCGTGACTTTTATGTATACTACGATGTATACATATATAGTGTAGTATACAATATATGCTGGCGCAGACTGGTGTTGTCTCTTTTCATCCCACTTACTATATAAGTGGAAAAAAATCGAACTCGAGTTGTACAAAATTTTACCGCAAGGTGCGCTTTTGCCTTTGAATATCTATTTTCTTAATTTTTACATTGTTTAACAATATATAAGCAGTTTAAGCATTTAATAAATATTCCATTTTTGATTACAGCTCCATCAATCATGTCATTGATTTAATTTCAAATTCATTTGTTGAACTTAAGCTATGTTTATTATCAAATTAACAATAATGCATGTTTAGTCGCATAAAATTTTTATTGATACGTAAAATAATAACAATACTTTTATCAATAGAGTACAATTCATATAAAGCTGTTCTATAAGATGTACAAAAGTGTATTCAATTATAGTACATCTTATTATACATTATAGCAAATAAATCTTTATGTAGATTTGAAGCTTTATAATAAAAAAAAATTATAGTACATCCATCTTATTATTTCAAAAGATCAGGTCTTTTTATAAAAGCTCAATACTGAAATTACTTCTAAAATGTTTAATTTTCAAAGGCATTATACTTGCTTAGTTTTTAAATCTTATACATATTACAGCTGAATTATTTATCAAAATACTTTTTAAAAAATAAGTCTAGATTTATATGTTAAGTGAGTATCGAAATTAAATGTTAACTTTGTAAATAGTAAAAAATAAATAAATAATGATCAATTAATCAATAGAGCTTTCTTTCTGATTTTGAATAGCAAGGTGCATTGCTCTCAAAAACTTCAATAGAGTACAATGTTTAGTTGGTAGGAAAAGAGCTTGAGCTAAAAATGGTATTTTCCTCAAAATACGCCCACTGAAATCTCTGCTTTCACGGCATAATTCAAACAACTTTAAACTGTGCTTAGTCTCAGAATTTTCTTCATAGCCTAACATTTTCAAGTATGATAAATCTTGGATTTCTTCAAGTTCAATAAAACCAGTCTGTAATGCAAAATAATTTTAACAATAAGATACATAATTAAAAATAAGCAATAAATGTTTGTTACCCTCATTAATTCTTTAATACATGAGCTGTAAATCTTGTAAATAGCTTGTTCATTAGGAAATGATATGTACTGTTTTATATCTGCACGATCAACAAAAGCTAAATCAATAGCTTCAGTCAAATTGCTTGTTGTCAAAATCAATACATTTGGATAGTGTTTCATATTGTCAAGTTGAGTTAGAAGAGCATTCACTACTCTGATGGAATCACTAGGCTCTGTACCATTAATACAAGCTTTACGGGCATGTGCTAAAGATTCAATTTCATCAATCAATATGCATACTAATGCTTTAGGATCTTGTAACAAATTTTTTATTTCATTGAAGAGATTTTGTACTAATTTTCCACTCTACAACACAGCATAATGGATATAGTTACTTGTTAATTCAATGGGAGTCAAAAATAAATTTTGCTTGCATACCTCTGAAAACCACTTTGAAAATAAACTATGACTATTTATTTCAACAAGCTCTCCTCTGTTGAAATAATTTTTCAAACGAATAGTAACTTTCTGTGCCAAGGCTTTGCATAAACTTGTTTTTCCAGTTCCAGGTGGTCCATGTAATAAAATCACTTTATTCCAACTAATTATATGTGGATTTACTTTACGCTCAGAATACAGCATGGCAGTTTCAATAAAATTGAGCAACTGTAAAGTACAATGACTTTTTTGTACAATTACATTCTTGATTATAATAAATAAAATTATGTAACATTATAAGTTAAAAATTACATTTTCCTTGACACCTTGTTCATAGAATAAATTTTCCCAAAGATCATAAAACTCTGCAGAAGGTAAAATCCAATGTGTTGCAGCAGAAATTGATTCTCCATCTTTATTCATAGATTCAATCGCTGCTTCTTCTTCATTCAATCGATAAACATGTATTTTTGTAGTTAATCCACGTAACTTGATGCGTGATTTCTATGAATTGATAATTATGAACATAAATGTATGAAACTTTTGCTTAGTCTTTCACCATAAATAAATTAAAACTTACATCTTCTTGTGCACAAGAGCAGATTATAGACTGAATATGGGTATTCAATGATTGGAATTTAAAAGATCCAGGCATCATAAACTTATTCAAAGTAACTTCATCTACCGAGTTCAGCTCAGCAGCAACTAATTCTTCAATTTCAGTTGGTGACAGCATGCTGTTAATATAGTTATTAAAAAGAAGTGTTAAAATTCAAAATGGTATATAATAAAAAATTTGACTTTATTTTTATAAGTATAAATCGATTCATGTATAGTGTAATATGATGTGCATCCAAATATAAATAAATCATCAGCAGTTATTTCGAATAACGGATGAATATTAATGTTACAAACCTGTCAGTATTTTGGCAAACTTCGACGTGGAGTATGTCGTGCATATTGAGCAGTTTCAAAACAATAATATCAAAAACCAAGTAAATATTTGGATGTCTAACGATTCACCAAAAATAACTTTCGACTTAGAATTGCAAATCATACAATCATTACGATAAAACATACGCTAAAAGCTAGATTATTCCGGGATTACAACGGTTGCCGGTTTATCGTCCATGGATCTGCACTCTGCAGTCAGCACCGCGAAATTTCGTCTTTGTTCGAACGACGGAGAGTTACTATTGGTCATGACGTCACAGCAGACATTTTTGTTTGATCACATGATCTTATATTTGCAAATTTAAATCAGATCCAAATAAAAACAATTATACAATCTACGTTTTTTGCAGTGATAATATAAGAAAGAACAATAATTTAGTACATTACCTAACCTGTATAATAGCGTTAATCTCAATTACAATACATGAAGAAATTTACTATGGACTAATACATCAGTTTTCTTTGACGAGATTATATTTGGTTCACGTACTGTGTAGTTTCCGTAGAAACGCAACGAGAGCCAGCCAATTATAGATAAAACATTTTTCGAAATCCTTATTGAGTACGTTTACTTTAGTCCTCCAAAAATGGTTAATCCATTAAATATTGAATTGAAAAATCAAGAATCACCTTGTCGAAAAACAAATAATTTCAGGTTTTCACATGACGATTGGCATTTTAATAATTTCTCAAGGTATAATTAACATTTAATGTTTAAATAACGGTTTCAATCTTTATTTATTAAATGTAAAAACCAAAAAAATTGATATTGAATCGATCGTAGGTTCCAATGCTCCGAAACTCAACAACAGTTAGCGCGTCAAATAATTGCAAAATCTGAAAAAGTATGCGAGCTTAGTACTGAAGCCGTCAAGTCTAATAAAGATGCGACAAATCATTATCTCGAAGAAAGAATCAATGAAATCGAATATTGTAAGCAAGAGCTTATTCGTAATAGAAATGAGCTGCCTTCAGAAATTGACGCGCTCACGACTTACGAAAATCGACTTACACATTCTGTATCGTCATTGAGACGCAATGCTCTTGACATATGCATGAAATGTATATCAGCAAGGTAAAACAAATTTTGAGTTGTTTTTTTCTTTCAATAATTGCTGCTGCAATTCAATGTTTTCCACACTTTCTTTTTTAGAGAGCATAGATTAGGAATCGATTTGGCAAACGATAGTGTTGAAAAAGAATTGCGTCAGGAGTGTGAAGGAATAAAATGTGCAAATTATTTGTTGTCACAAACGCTCGACAAGACCCATGAGCAACTACGACGTTTAAAATCATCTCTTTACAGTATTGATCGCGATCTGGAAGATAAAGAAAATAATTTACGCATTGATCGTCATAATCTGACTCTCAAAGAAACTAGCTTGAATCTTAGCATTTATCATGGAAAAAATTCATTAAATGCATCGTATGATTGACCGAACCATATAGCTGTCTGATGGAAGCTTTTTCTTATAACGAACAAATAATTTTTTAGGAGCATTACAAAAGACGAGTGGGAAATGTTAACGAAAAAGAACATTGAGGAATCGGCAAAAGAAATCTTAACTGGGAAAAAGATTCGATCCAACATTGATCGTATTTTAAAACAAATTATTGATGATCTGATCAAGCAAAAGGCAGCTACAGACGAAGCTTTCAGACTCAGAATCGAAGAAACTAAAGAAATAAAGGGAAAATTAGAACTCCAACATTCGGCAGTTACGTAGTTTAAAATCTGTTAAAATTAATTTATTTTACAAAAAAAATCAATTTTAATTGTTACGTTTTTTATAAGATCATGAGACAAGCCCATGAGATGACAAGGAATATTACAAAATTAGAAAAAGTAATAGCTGAAAAAGAGGCGTTTATAGCATTAGCACATACTAGATTAGGCAATCGTTGTCATAGACCTGGACTGGAGCTTACTTGCGATCAAGTTGAAAAAAGTCTTACAAAGGAAATTGCTGATCTGAGGGAAGTAGTTACTCAACTTCAGCAAACGCTTTTTGAAGTTAGTAAAAATAGCATTTATTCAATAGATATAAATAAAATAATTTAACAAACAAAAAGACATACTAATTGTAAGTAAACCATACTTATCAAGTATACATCACAACATTTATAAATATTTCAGGCGCAAGCTTCACTTCGCTTCTTACTAAAAACACAAATGCAACTTGAAGAAGACATTAATATAAAAACCAATTCATTGAAAATCGACGAAGTTTATTGTATGACTTTGCGCCGAAGTATAGATTATCACATTTTTTAATTTGACCTTATCCACATTTCTGATTGCTTATTAAAATTATTTTGTTTGAAAACATTTAACTTTTAAAAAAGTTTACAAGCTTTTGTGATTGAATTTTATTTCTATTTTTGACAGCGAGAAAAAAAGATTGCAATTCCTTGTTTATGGCAGATTCTAATGACTTATCTAATTCAGCTGCTTTAGTCAAATCGGTAATAGCTTCATTTTCATTCCAAGCTCCTATATGTGCTTTTCCTCGGCGATACAGTGCTTTAACATTGTCTATAAAAATTTAATATAATGCTAAATATTGTTTTCCATTATTATCAGGAATAATTATTTTTAAATTTGTATGAATCATACTTGGATCTGTTTTTAAAACTGTAGTGCAGTGTTCAATAACAGAGTAATATTCTTTATTTAATAATTTACATTGAGCATAATTTAACAGAAGAGGAATTTTCATTTCATTCAAATTCAACCACTCTGTATCATGTGGCTTTTCTCTGTAAATGTAACATTATTTTAACATTCAGTATCATACATATATTAAATAAGTACTTTTAAGTCTCTTATTGTATTGCTACATACGCTAACATAAGCTGCTCCAAAATTCCAAGCGCCTGAGCATAAGTATTTGCTGCAGCTTCGTAATTCTTTTCTCTAAATTGGACATTACCTTTTTCTCTCAATATAGGTACATTTTTAAGTTTTTCGTCTTCTGTCATTTGCCATGATTCCTTTTCATACTCATGAGGTAAGATAACTTGCAGTAATTCTGAAAAGCATCAATGAGTTAGATATATTTTTATAGATTGAATATCCTGAGATCAATTATATTATTAGTAACATACCTATTGTAAATTCTAAATTCTGAGGATTTTTGATAAGGTTGTTTAAATCATCATAGCCTATACCTTCATTTTGTAATGTTACACCACAACAATGATGATTTCTTCTTTCACCTACTGGTTTACCAGCTTCTCTAAGAGTTTTTGAAACAAAAGGATATGGGCTGACTAGCTGTAATGCAAATGATATTGTTTAAAGTTATTGTTTTAAAAGATTATGACAGGTATATTTATTCATTTTTACAGTTTTATCAACTATAAATAGAGCCACTTCATTCAATGCCATTTTTTGTACTATGACTTCCCAAACATCAAGTTTGAATTGCTTTCCTAATACTAATTCCATAGGCTTTCCCATTTCTTTACTATCATCAATAACAGTCTTGGAAGAATCACATTTTGTAGTTTTGAAGTGAAAAACCACCTGAAATATATATATATATATATATATGGTAAAAAATAGGTTTATAAATTATAGTTAGGTTAAAAATGTAACTTACTTTCGTTCCAGGTACGAAATTCACTGCTTTAGTTCCTGCGTGAATTACTTTCTTAATAATAAGACTATCCATCTTGTATCTGCCTAAATCTTCAGCTCAGTAATTAAGACTTAAAAATTAATTTAATAATAAACTTAACATTCTTCTGTAGGCTATGTACATCGATAATACGAAGTTGTCGTATATGCACTACTTATTTAGTATTTACTACTGCTGTGAACAACGTGCATATATGTTTACGATAATCAGCTGATTTCCATTCCGTGTTTTAAGATGTCGATACTGTCTATATATGTATGTACATACACACATGCGCGCATATATAGGATATAAACATGGTAGGGCTTCCCGTTCCAGCTTCAGAAAATGTGGTATTCTAAATTGAAATTTTTTTGAAATATTCCATGTATTATCAAACAGGAAAAAGCGTTCTCACTTTCAATATATTTGTTATTTTCTTAAAATTTAATTTACTTATATGAGTCAGACGAAAGCGCATACGCTCATTTTGAAGAAAAAAATTAAAGCACGGATCACATGGTATCTTTTGTATTCTGATTATTTTATTTAATATAAATTGTTAACACAGTGGAAGAAAGAATTACGATTAGTCAATTTCAAAAGTTTTACATGTTTAAAAATTTTTATTAAAATTTACTATGCTCGTTTTTTATAAGTATAAAAGTAATAATTTTTATGTTACATTCATTCATTGACGAAACATTTTAGTTTAAATATAAATTACAATATAATGTTAAAATAATATAAAACGTTTATATTTATACATAACTAACGATTCTAAAGGAAATTTAAATATGACAATTCTAACTTCTCTTCATCAAAATATTGCACTATTCACAGACACAATCGATCTCATTAAATTACGTTAATGTATTGTACTATTGTAATACAATAATAATGTATTGTAATACAACCTCCTATACATCAATTATTAATATACTACGTGTGTGTGTGTGTGTGTGTGTGTGTGTGTGTGTGTGTGTGTGTGTGTGTGTGTGTGTGTGTGTGTGTGTGTGTCATATACAATTTATAGTGAGTGTTGTGTTAGATTTTACATGTAATTAGTTTAAGGCTTTTTGTATATAAAATTTTTGTTCAGATAAAAAATTATATGAAAATAATGATATTCTAAGAAATTAATGATCATAAACTATGTTTTAATATTTTTCTGCTACTAAATTGTACTTGTATAATTGGTAAAAATACATTTAAATAGTAATGGAAGATCTGTTTATCAAATTTATAAGCTCTTACCAAACAGCAGTCTTACAATTAAAAATTATATATAAAAATGATACAACTAAAAATAGATGAATATGTATATTTTCGGTTATTAATACTCGAAATTCTCTTCATTATCACACGATTATTATTTTAGAATATTTTTTAGAAAAAATCTCTTTCACGATAACTTACTTTTTTCATAAGCCTTAATAAAAAATAAAAATTCTCCATTGCAAAATATGGAGAATTTTTCATGTGTAGAAATAAACTTTTTCACATAAAAATCATTCAATCAAATTTTTTAATCTAGCTAATGAATTTGTTATTACTAAAGAGTTGTGGACGTAACTGCACTAACACCGTGTACTAGAATAGTAGGTGGTAAATCTACGGTCAATTCGGTTAAAAGTTGAAGATATTGTTTACGCAAAACATCTTTGTCCCACATGTTGAAAGTTGGAGGTGCCGGGAGGTATATAAAAATAGCAGCAGTTTCAGAACAATATTGTCGAATTAATCTATTGACACTGCAAAGAAAATATATTATTTTAATATGGTGCTTTGAGTCTTTCGCGAGATTATCTTTAACTTATTGTCGTAAGTGAAGAATGTAACTTACTTTAAAATATAAGCTCGCGATATGTTACTCAAAGTATTTTCGGCAGTATCAACACTGGGTTCAAATGAATTTTCAGCTCGGCTTTCAAGCAATGAACGACCATTTAGTTCTCCAATTTTTTCGCTCCAATCTGGAACCTTTGTTATTGATGCAGAAATTCGCAGCATATTTAAAAGTTTTCGCAATTTGTGTTCATTTGAAATTCTCGGATGATCATCAATCGAGCTGTGTGATTCGGAAATACTCAGACTTGGGCTGCTACTTTTCATCAATTCACAATGAAATACTCTAAGATGTAGATTTTTCCAATTAGGTACCATGTTTATTATACAAGCTAATTGTAACATAAATAAAGAAGTTGTATCGAAAGGATCTTGGTCAGATGGTTGGAAAAAATTCACTGGCCAAACATCAATATATTGTAAATTAGCATTTCTGAAATGAAAATAAAACTTTTTCATTACATTGCTTATTACTATTTACAATTTTATCTTGTTAGAGTACTATCTACATTAAATAGATAAAAGTACATAGTAAAATTAATTCACATTCTTAAAATATCTTTTAAAACGAAAAGTCGATAATGAAATAAATAATGAATGTACTTACTTTGACAATTGCGATTTGTCAAGTAAATGAAAATTTCTACAAAGGCATAAGTTTTTCTTCATATTTAGAACGTCTTCACACATTTTAACGTACTGGAGTTCATCAATTGTTTTACTTTCGTGAGGTTGCCGAAGAGCAAATAATTTTGCATTGGCATATGTTGTAACATTGTCATACATTGACGTTGCATATTGTGAATCTTGGAAAAAGTCTACAGGAGTCTCGTCATCGTAAAATCCAAGAACGATGGTGTTTGGTTTCATCGCTCCCATTCCAGACAATCTAATCAAATGTTGCAGGCCTTCTTGAACTGTCTTCGTTAACGTTAATTCAATAAAAGCCTTCACTTTCATGTGGTCTACTAAACTTAGCCAATGAGGATATTCATCAATAGTCGGATCAACTTTTCCAGAAAATTCTCCAACTTTGACATGTCCAATAACGTAAAGTCCTCCTTTTTTTAAATCGTTTATAAAATCTATCAATGGACAAGAAGATCTCGGTGACGCAACCATTAGAAGGATTTGCGGCCGCCAAAATTTAACGTGATCCTTACGTGAATCGAGCATCAGTAAGTATTTACGAACTTGGTGAAATATTAAAGCTTGAGAAATACTACCCCACGATGCATTTTTACTTGGAGAAAATAAGTGTAAAACAATAACAAGTACAAGGCATAATATAATACTGCTTGATGCGTAAATGCTATTGATAATAAACATCATTATAAGTGTCCCAAGAAGGCCTAAAGTTGCAGTGTACCAAGTAAAGTAATTGAATGTTGGTCTAAAGTTTGGGGCACTTGCTAATTCTAATCCAAGACATGCTAAATTGGTGGCTAAGTAACTTAGTAAAAATAATACGGAATTGACTTGGGCAATGGTATTTAGAGAGCCAATAAGTAAAATTGTTTGTACCAGAATCCATGACGTTAAAACTGCTCCAATTGGATTACCCTTCCATGTAGTTTTTATAATATAATTCAACAAAGGACCTTGAATAGAGACATTTTTTATGACTAATTTTTTAATTATTGTAAATAATTCTTTGTTTTTTCAATCACTTACCAAATATATTATCTTTTGCAAGAGCTTCTAAAACTCTACTTGATCCTATCATATTACTCAAACCAGCACTAAAAGTTGCAGTTAAAATTCCAATAGCTACAAACGGTGGCCAAATATTAGTTGGCATCATATAAATAAAATTATTTTGAAGGAGAAATCTACTTGATGTTGCAGCAGTCATTATTGATAATAAAATATAACATATAAATGTAAACAAAACAGCAGAAAGAGTGCCTCGTGGAATATTATGTCCAGGATTTTTCAACTCCCCTAAAAAAATTAATTTTATCTAAATTAAATAAACAAATGAAAGTTGATTAGTTATTGATAGTTTATTATTATGTTGCTAACCACTCATATTTGCTCCAGCCATTATGCCAGTAACACCACTGAATAATACACCGAAAACACTAGCAAAACTACTTACAGATCCAAGGCTTGAATAATCTGCACTATAGTTTGAATATAAATTCTCTTGCAAGGTTTCAGATGAAAAACCGGTATAATTTCCAAAAACTTTATGAGTTGTATTTTGTACTAAAGTATTTGCATCAGGAATTGATACCTATAATATTAATAGAATTTGCAAATAGAGAAAATTATAAATTTATTAAAGTTGTATTGCAAAAAAAAATCAATTACCTCAAATTCACCTTTTACTAGAAAACTGACAAAAACACTTCCAAGACATATACAAACAATTGCTAAAATAGCAACGCTAGTTTTTGCAAACATTGCTGCACCAATTAAACATACAATCAAATTGGCTGTATTGAGTACTGAGCAATATAGAAAACGCCACCATCTTCCATCAGGAATTATTCCATTTTCTTTAACTAAATAGCCAGAAGGTCCAAAATTTTCAATTAAACCTTCTGCACATCCTGATATACATAATGCACTTGATACCACATTAGCCATGAAAAATAGACTACCAATTGATCCACCAAATTCTGGGCCAAGTGTTCTACTTATCATAACTAAGTGATCATGTTTAAGAAATTAAATTATCATAAACAAGAAATTAAAAAATTAAATATTTGTACATCAAATTAATAATGTAGTAAAGGATACAGTACGCTCCACCCCCTTCAACTGCTCCATTAGTTGAGATAGCACAGACTGATGATACTGTAAAAACTAAAATTCCATAAGCAATAATAAACTGTATTAAAGTAACGAATAATCCTGCATTTCCAACAATATATCCTGTAACAAGTATAAACAAATTCTTTTAATGTATAAAACAAATTTTATAGCTAAATCTAAAGGTATAGTCACCCATTCGAATAAAAACTAAGGCACTGAACATAGATAATGTAACTGGACTAAATACACCAGCAAATGTTCCAAGAGTTCTGCCACTATCATTTCCCAAAGTACTGAATTCAACGTAACCGTCTCTTTCTTCATTGGATGGATGTCTAAATCGCAGAAGATTACTTAGTCTGCGAAAAACGCCCCTTGTCCTGATAAGAGGTACTTTTTCTCCAGTATTGATGCGAACTGTTTCTGCGTTATTTGTAGATCCAACTTCAGATGCAATCATATTGTTGAATTTTTTAGTGTAATTGTTGGGAAATTCTTTGTTCTAGTTGAACTGAAAACTCAACAAGAGTTTTCAAATATTCTCACAATTGTTCAATAACACCACAACGTGGATAATAATTAAAAAAATTAAATCATTTCACAAATTACACTAATTATATTTAGCTATTAGAAATGAAAAATTTGTTCAAAGGCTAATGATGTCATTTGAGTATACGCCAAAATATGTTATATATATGTACGTAGGTAGTTGTGAACCAAACGTCAACCGTACTCCAGCCTTTAGGTTATAATCATAGAGATTATATATATAAAGTCTTCATGCATAGTTATAATTATGCCTCCGCCGTCACACGTAGATAGTTTTCCACCAATCTCAATCATGCGACAAGTTGAAAAATGTGTAAACAATTTCAAAAAAATTAAATTCCGCGAAACATATTGTCTGTTCAACATAATCTACTTAATAACTGAGTCTAAAAACAATAATACAACGAAAAGAACCGTTAAAGAATTTAAATATAGATTTATTACAAATATAGCGTATAACAGCATCTGCAGCATGTAATATTGACAATAAAAAGTGTAAGAATAATGTTTACAATTATTTATTTTGGCATTAAAAAGTAGTTTTTAAAGTAGGCAACAATTTATATTGTAACGAATAATATTATGTACATACTGTACAGAAATACTATACAATGAAAATTGAAATTTTATAAATATACAAGGATATTATTTTTATAACAATTTCAACTGCATATGAAACAAAAATCACGCTATTTTAATTGAGATATAATAAAGAATAAGATTTCTTTTTCATTGTGCCCAGCACAAACATTTTATAATTACAGTATATTAATATATTGCATAGTCTTTTTAATTATTTTTATCTGAGTCATCACTGTCATTGTCTTCTTCTAACTCAGGCATAGGGAAACGGAGTATCGCGGCTATACCAGTCAGTTGATCTAATTCTATAACAATTAAACTATCCTTAATTTTCTATTTTTATTTAAATATTTTGATTGAGAAAAAGATACATACGTTCTCCCGATATGTGCATACATGAAAATATTTTAACATCGCCACCGCTATCCCTAACAGCTTCAACAAGACTAACATATTCTTTCCTCAATGCAATATCTTGGCATCTGAACGTTCGAAAAGTAGTATTAGAATTTGAATTCAAGTAGCAAGATAATTTCAAATAGAGTAGATTTACCTGAACAATTTATCAGAAATAAGAAGCGTTTCTATAGCTTGGGCTTCACATGCTGCTTGAACATGTTTTTTTCCGTAGAATGCTTTAGATGGGTCTGTTTGAAGCATTGTATAAAATGTCTCTAATGCCTTTACTTCTCCAGCTGCTTTTGTGTCAGATATACGAGATATCACTGCTGAATCAGTCAGTACTTCTACAAAAATAACATTATTAATAGAAACTAAGAAATGAGCTGGACTAGTGACTGAAATTAATTATATACCTCTTAAAGAATGTTTAAAACCAGAGCTTGCATGAACAAGTAAAAATTTGCTTTTATTTTCAATGATTAACTTGTTTTCAGTCTTAATTGCTTGTTGAATCATATAATTCATGAATTGATCTTTTACAAAACCTGGGCTAGCAAGAATGACACATTTTACAATATCAAAATTTACATGTCTAATGATTCCTTGCATTATGCTTTCATAAAATCGATTTAAGCCCTGTTTGGAGACATTTATACTTTGTAAAATTATTCTTAAAGTTTCAATCTCATAAAATTAAAATAACCTTTATACCTTTTCATGCTGGGATACATTGCCTTTTCTTTTTCTTGGAATAACTTGATCTATTTTAGCACGAACTATTGTCATATTTGATGTAATTAAACATATGTGGGCTATTCCTTCTTGCATTACAACTGCAGCTACATCAGCATGCTAAATTCAATTTCAATTTATGAAAATTTATAAATGCTAAATCTTTACTATTCAATATTATCATGAATTCTTACTTGAGCTGGATCACATGCCATATCAACTCGCTCAAGTGCAATCAAGTCCCATACTGACTTTTTTAAAGTAAACTTACGATTCAATTCAATATCCAAAGTATGATATGCTCCAGTCTACAAAAATTGTATCAAGAGTCAGTTACAATTATATTTAGTGCATTATAACTAGAAATCTTAAATACCTTAACATATTTATTTTCTTCTATGTTTTTGCCTTTAACTCTTAAGACACATGCCTGAGTATCAAAATCTATATTTTCTACACATATTGTTAAAGTTGTTCGTACCCTAAAGCTGTTTGAACTACCTGTAGACGATTCAGTCTGTACTTTCCTGTAAAAAAACAGAATTTTCAATTGAATACTACTTAACAAATTAAAAAAATGTAAAGTACCTAATGGTAGAGCAGCTAACACAATCTCCTTCGCTGATCAAGTTGAAAATATGCCACATATCTTCAGTATCTTCTGGGACTAAAGCAACAATCCTAATAAAATAAGCGAAAAAATTACTTTTCAATCAATAACATATAAGTAATGATTTACTTTAATTACTAACCCCTCTCCATCTTTCTCCACACTTTTGTAAACCAATTTCATTTTATAAATTATTAGAAAAACTTCTCCAATCAAAACAAGCTTATAACCTAATAGTACATAAAACAAAGTTGTTTAAATATTTGAATGAAATATTACGAAATGCATAAATATATCTATCATTAGTGTAACACTTACCTTTTCAGATCAACAATTATAATTAAACTTTAGAAGTCTTTTCTAAAAGCTATAAAATGTTTTTTGAAAAACTGTGCACAAGTTTTACACAGCAAAGAATGAGTACAAATATTACAGATCATTTCGTTATAGCTATTCTTGAATATGTACATACTATTTAACTCTTACAAGTGTTTGTACTTTTTTTTTGACTAAAATATGTTTGGAATGTCTATTTTCTGATTTTAACACCACTTAACACAGCCTGCATATATATTGTGAACAAATCTTAATTTTGATACCAACAAATGATAGGTTAGGCGGCAGATTGTTAGTGTTAAGTGTACGCATTCACTCAATTTCTTCTTCTTTGGTTATTTTTGACTCTGGCGTCGACTAGCTGAACTACGAGTCTGAATCCCATACGACCATCGTCAACTAATTTTCGCTACTGCGCGCTTTAAACTGACTGATGGTAACCCCCTTACCCTAACCTGCAAAGTGTAATGGACAGTGAAAAAAAATACCATTCGAAATATCTCTAATTGAACCCTCCAAAAATGCCCATTATTTTAATTAAACCTCTTCAGATGTTCCAAAAAAAAATTAAAAACTATGATTTTGATACGCAAAATATAATATCGCGCACGCGCATTAAGCCATCTATTTGGAAAGAAACATATGTACAATAAAATTTGATTGTTGTTTTTGACATATATATTAATAATTTTGAAAAAGTAAGAAGGGTGGAATTATAACGAGCAAGGGTTCAATTTTTTTGCCTTGTTTCTTTGCAAAAATATTAAGTAGTAGTAAAGATATCGCAGTTGCAAAAACCGAAAAAATTATCATAGTTTTTAATTTTTTTTGGGACAACTGAAGGGGTTCAATTAGAATAATGAGTATTTTTGGAAGGTTCAATTAGAGATATTTCGAATGATATTTTTTTTTCCACTGATCATTACACTGATCATTAGTAAATGGGCTGGGCCCTAGCCCAGTGGTGGGTAGGTAAATTAACATAGGTAAAATACATAGTTTTTTGACACGTAATTTACTATGTATATTACCTCTCGAACTTTCAGAGTTTTTGACAACACGTTTTGACATCTTTTCGGCCATCGCCGTGGGATGGCGCGCCGACGCGGTGTGCCGGTACAGCCGATGCGGTACCGGTCTAAGTCAGGTCTTTTAAAATCTGTTAGCAAAGCATGCACTCTTCCTGCAAATCCGCTATCCACGACACTTTTTGCTAACAAATTGCCGTTATGGCTATTACACGTTACATGCCAAATCCCAACAAGTTGACCCATGAGAATCATCACAGCTGCACCGTCACTGATAACAGCGTATATATTAATATTATATTTTTCTCTTGCCATTCCAATACATTCGTCAACCACTTTACGCAAAGCTTCCCCAGTTTCACGATGAGTACTGAAATTCCAGGTGTTCAAAAAAATGTACTTTCTTCGCTGCATGTTGTCTAAACGAAGCATGGCAACAACATTTTGTTTATTGGCCGCCTTATTTTTCCATCCATCTATTAACAAAACTGCATTATTTACACCCATATTGGCTATTGCGATTGCTGTAACTCGTTGAATCGATTACTAAGATTACTGTTGGAAAGAGTCTTATTACTTGGGATAATGTAATTTGGATTTAAGGCTTGAATAAAATTTCTAAACAATGGTGATTCGACTATTACGAAAGGTATGTTGCATCCAAAAAAAAAATAGCCCAAGCAATCTGTCCAATTCATTACGATCAATATTAGCTAAAAAAAAAATTATTATCATTATAAATTTGAATTCAAAACATTTTAATAAAGACTATTTTAGATCATCTACATTATTATTGAAAAATATCGTATATATACCTGCCATTTTAATAAATAATCCAAACAAGAAAACTAGGAAAAATCACTAATTTCTGAACAGTTAATAATATATGATTTTTCTGAAATATGATTTGCTTCTTCACTTTGGTATAAGATTTGAGGTGAATAACCGAAATTTTCAAATGAAGAATGATAAATTACGTGGTACTAGTACTATTATTACTGTTTAGTGTTTATTGTGAAAATTAATTTTATAAAAACTGTGATAATTGTTACATTTAGGTTGTTAGTTTACTGTTAGAGATAAATAAATAACACCGGGCTTTCTTAGCGTCAAAGGATCAAAGGTCGAATTAAAAATATTCAAATTAGAATTTCAATAGCAAAGTACGTTGGTGTAACACTGCTGCGCATGCGCAATAGTATTTGGAAGTTTTTGACGTTTTTGACAATCTGACATGGTTTTTGACGTTGTTTACAGCTTCTGACATGTAAATGTCGAAAACCTCAAAATCGTGTCATTTTCCCACCACTGCCCTAGCCCCTAACCCTAAACAACAAATCTACATTCGTTAATATAAGTCGCCATAATCCACGCGCACGTGCGCTTATAACCAGCTTATAACCAATAACGCCGTCATACTCTGGTGTGGTCCGGTCCGGTCCGGCATGAATTTACGAATTATCGAATAATAGAGAAAATAGCACAATAAAAAATTGTGTAGAGCGTTGTATAATTAAAGTCGCTGCATAATAATGCGAGAGATTGAAAAATGTATTAGCATTCCAAATATTCATCCTAGACATTTTTCATAAAAAGCATTGAGTAAGAAACACGATATTTAGTTGTTATAAATCAATTAATATCTGACCAATTAAATAACTGTTTAATCATAAACATAACAATAGAATATTTCAAAAATGTTATTGCTACGTATAGTCTTGTTTACTTATTGTTTAAAATCGTATTTTCCAGGTTAAATTGAAATAAATTTTGTTTAGATAAAATAATTAAGATGAGTAAATTCCAAAGAACACATTATCGTATGTCCGCAAAACATCTTGATCCAAAAAGCTTGACTTTTTGTGTTTATACCAGTGATGACATAAGAAATTTAAGTGTGAAAAAAATTACTACTCCTGATTCTTTTAACATGCTCGGACACCCATTAATTGGTGGACTGCATGATCCTGCTTTGGGTATGTTTTATGATGTTTTAACTAATTATTGTTCTAAATCTGTTTCATATTTTATTATTTATATTCTAGGACCACTCAATGAAAATTCAGATCCTTGCCGAACTTGTAGTAGAAATGTTTTCAGATGTTCTGGTCACTTTGGACATATTGATTTACCGATGCCAGTTGTCAATCCTTTATTCCATAAGTCTTTGCAAACAATATTAAAGTTGTCATGCTTGAGTTGTTTTACACTACAAATTCCTGCTCATGCAAAACTGACACTTTCTGCAAAATTAAAATTATTGCAAGATGGTTTATTTGGATATTTAGAAGGCTTGGATCAGCAAGTTAAAGATGTTTTGCCAGCTACTGGAAATATAGATGAAGCCCATGTACTCATCATCCGAGATGCGATAGATAGTTACATACAAAATGTATATAACATAGAAAGGTTTAAAATAGAGTATAATTCAACACACAGAGCCAGTCTTAATACAAAAAATACCAACATGGAATGGCACGTTTATATTGATAGTTTTTTAAAGCAATACAATGTTGGCAAAGTATGCATTTACTGTTGTCAACCAATAGCAAAAATAACTGTTTTGAAAAATAGAATAATATCATCAAGACCAGTTTTAATTGAAGATACCAGAGGTAGTAATCATGGAACAATTCAAAAGCATGAGACAATTATTATTATGCCAGATCAGTCAAAAGGATATTTGCAAAACTTATGGCAAAATGAAAAAGAAACTCTTAGAGTCATTATCCCGTGTTTAGACAGCGTAACAATAGAATATCCTACAGATATATTTTTCTTCAATGTAGTGCCTGTTTTACCTCCCATAGTTCGTCCTGTGAATTATCTAAATGGTCAGATCATTGAACACCCACAAACTCAAATATACAGAGCCATTATTATGATCTGTCTTACATTGAGAAACATTATACAGGCAATTCAAGATGGGGACACAAATCGCCTTCCAGAAGCTGGTAAAATGGTCTACAGTAACACACAGGGTAACACTGCAATAGAAAAGCTCCATAATGCGTGGCAAGAGCTACAAGCCAATGTTGATCACTTGATGGATCGAGATCTAAGTAAAACATCAGAGTCTGCCAATTGTCAAGGATTGAAGCAAATTATTGAGAAGAAGGAAGGTGTGATTCGTATGCACATGATGGGCAAAAGAGTAAATTTTGCAGCCAGGTCTGTCATTACTCCTGATCCTAATTTAAATATTGATGAGATTGGTATAGCTGAAGCCTTTGCTATAAAACTTACATATCCCGTACCCGTAACACCATGGAATGTCGCCGAATTGAGGCAATTAATTTTAAATGGACCAAATGTACATCCTGGAGCTGTGATGATCGAGGGAGAGGATGGATTTGTTAAAAGATTGGATCCCGATAATTACACACAGAGAGAAGCATGTGCCAAACGTTTGCTTGTAATGAAAGATGGAGTAAGCAAAGGAGGCACAGTGAATATTAAAATTGTTCACAGACATCTTCAAAATGGAGACATACTTTTGCTGAATCGTCAGCCGACCCTTCACAAGCCTAGTATTATGGCACACAAAGCTCGTATACTAAAAGGAGAAAAAACTCTACGACTTCATTACGCCAATTGCAAAGCTTACAATGCTGATTTTGATGGTGACGAAATGAACGCTCACTTTCCCCAAAACGAATTAGCCCGTGCTGAAGGATACTACATTGCGAATGTGTCGAGACAGTATTTGGTACCAAAAGATGGAACTCCACTTAGTGGTTTGATTCAGGATCACATGATTGCCGGAGTGAAATTGACGCTTCGAGGAACTTTCTTTCCTATGGAAGATTATATGCAGCTTGTATTCTCGGCTTTGTCGGTTATTCAAGGTAACATCGTTTTGCTGCCTCCGTCTATCATTAAACCCATTCCAATGTGGTCCGGAAAGCAAGTAGTGTCGACAATTATCATCAACATCATTCCTCGAGGAAGCGTCTTGATCAATTTGAATGCCTCGGCTAAAATCGGAGTACAAGAGTGGCAGGTCAGAAAACCTCGAGCTTGGAAAGCTGGCGGCACTGCCTTCCCTCTAAATTCTGTAATTATGTCCGAGGCTGAAGTTGTTATCCGTAATGGAGAATTATTGTGTGGAATTCTCGACAAAAAGCACTATGGCGCTACTCCTTTTGGTCTTATACATTGTGTGTTTGAGTTGTACGGAGGTGATACTTCGAGCAAACTTTTAAGCGCGTTTGGAAAAGTTTTTCAATCGTACTTACAAATGATTGGATTCACCTTAGGTATCCAAGATATTTTGGTGAAAAAGAAAGCAGATGACAAGCGAACTGACATCATACGAAAATGCCGTCAACAAGTTTCCGCTGAAATTCAAAGGTGCGTATTCATTACGACATGGTAAACAGCAATGTCTTAAATTTTTTTTAATCAATACAAAGTTTCTTTTTAAATTTTCAGACAAGTACTTGAATTACCAGAAGATACGCCAGAAGAAATTGTAGCAGCAAAAATGGAAGAGAACTATTGGAGTAATCCCAAATTTCGCGCTCGAGTTGACAGAAAATACAAGTCAATTTTGGACGAGTATACTAACAGCATTAACAAAACTTGCTTACCCGCTGGTCTAATCAAATCTTTCCCGGACAACAATTTGCAGTTGATGGTACAATCTGGAGCTAAGGGTTCAACTGTAAATACTATGCAGATTTCTTGCCTCTTAGGTCAAATTGAGTTGGAAGGCAAACGACCTCCATTGATGATTAGTGGTAAAAGTTTGCCAAGTTTCCGGCCGTATGATCCAACACCAAGAGCTGGAGGTTTTATCGATGGCAGATTCATGACAGGAATTCAACCACAAGACTTCTTCTTTCATTGTATGGCTGGTCGTGAAGGTCTTATTGACACTGCTGTAAAAACCAGTCGGTCTGGTTATCTGCAAAGGTTTCTTCATAGTTATGTTTGAATATATTATTTTTTGTATTTTGGGTTTTTACATAATTTTATTTTCTAGGTGTTTGATCAAACATATGGAGGGATTAATGATCAATTATGATGCTACGGTTAGAGATTCAGATGGCAGTCTTATACAAATATATTACGGCGAAGATGGATTAGACATTCTCAAGTCACGATTTTTGAATGAACAACAATTTGAATTTCTAGTCGAAAATAAAAATGCAATTGCGGATGATAATCTTTTGAAACACTTGAAAGCTAATTTCCAAACTGAAGCTATTGCTAAGCAAGTTAAGAAAATTAATAAATGGAAGAAGAAAAATGGTGATCTATTAGCAAAAAGACGCACTAGCGAATTTTCTAAATTTTCTGCAGACAATAACAACTATAGTCATAGGAAAAATACAGAAATCGTTCCTGACTATGGCAGATCAAAGGCATCTTTGTCATTGATGAAAAAATGGATAAGAGCTAATGACGAGACAAAGAAAATGTATAAACAACAGATAATTAAAAGTCCTGATCCATTAACCGCGAAGTATAGACAAGATCTTAATTTTGGAGTTTTACCCGAAAAACTTGAAGCGTTAATCGACAAATATTTAGAGAAAAAGTCTACCTCCTTCACTACATATATTGGAAAAGAAGAGCTGAGAGATGTTTTATGTGCTAAATTTATGAACACGCTTTGTCCTCCTGGTGAACCAGTTGGATTATTAGGTAATGTAATACATTGTTTTATTATAAAAGAATCTTATAGCTGCATATTTTATATTATTTTCATTATTAAGCTGCACAATCTATTGGAGAACCCTCAACACAACTAACTCTAAACACTTTTCATCACGCTGGTCGTGGTGAAATGAACGTGACACTTGGTATTCCTAGATTGCGAGAAATCCTGATGATGGCATCTAAGAATATTAAAACTCCTAGTATGGAAATTCCTTTTAAAAAGTTGGAAGATTTAGAAAAGCAATCAAAGAATGTAAGATAGACAAAATGATTTTCATTACTTTTTTTTATATATGGCTAATTATATACAATGAAAATTTCAGCTAAAATTGAAATTGACAAAGTGCTATGTAGCTAACGTGTTAAAACAAATTAAGGTTGAAAGAAAGTTAGTGCACGATCCTGAGCGTCAAATGCAGTACACGATAACCGTTGAATATTTACCTCATAAGTATTACAAGAATGAGTTCATTGTAAATCCCAAGGATGTCATAGCTAAAACCGAAAATATATTCTTCAAAGAAATATTCCGAGAAATAAAAAAATCCGCTAAAGCATCTGGTTCGACGTTGTACTTCAAAGAAGATAAAATTATGACAAAAGCAGAAAACTCTAAATTGGATGAAGAGGAAGTCGTTGAAGACGAGTTAAAATCTCATAAACGATTCGATATAGGTGAAATGCATGAATCATCCGATGAAGAGGAAATTACCGAAGACGCGGATGCGACAATAGCGAGATCCGTTTCAAGACATCAAGAGAATCGCGAGTATGATGATCCCGAAGAGGGCGAAGAAGAACCAGAAGAAATCGATGAAAATGAAGCAGAACCGATTGAAAATCGAGTGATAAATCGTGATGAGGACATTGATGATATGGTAACGACTGGACAATTTATTAATAGATCAGAGTACGAGCAAAGAAAGATAGATGTAGTTAATATGTATGTACATGCTATTGATTACGACTACGACGTTGAAAAGAATTATTGGTGTAAATTGAAATTTTGGGTAAGTGTGTTATTATTACGTCAATGACATTTCATATTATATTTATTATAACAGATTTTCTTTAATTGAATTTGTGCTCGACCGGTAGAGACAATATGAAAATTGAGTAGACTACATGCATTTGTTCTGATCACAGCACTTTAGTTATTTTTTTTCTGAAGAAATTAACGAAACTGTTAACGAAATGTCAAAAGTTGTTTTTTTTTTTGTATTGTCTCCATTGATCGAGCACACTTTAACTAAGATAAAACTATGATAGGCGAGAACAGCGATCAAAGAAATAATTAATTTTTCAATTCTCCGTGCGGAAAGAAATTTTTCGCATGCTCGCTTTGCTCAGACGTAAATATTACACAAGACGAGAATCTACTTTCCCGCACTTGTATCGTAATATACTGTTTATTGATAGAATGTATTTTGTTCTAGTTACCTATCAAAATGACAAAACTAGATCTATCAACAATACTTCGTAATGTAGCTAATAAAGTTGTATTGTGGGAGACCCCAGCTATAAAAAAAGCGTTTATTATTGAGAAAAAAGAAAAAGGCAGTGAAAAAGAAACAATTTTAAAAACCGATGGCCTTAACATTGTGGTACGAATTCAGGCGTACATTTAAAACTATTAATTGTAATAATAATGTAGCAATGATAATTCACGTTTCTGTTTTCTGATTTTAGGAAATGTTTAAGTATGATAACATTTTAGATTTGTATAGATTGTATTCAAACGATATTTATGGAATATCTCAAACTTATGGAATCGAGGCGGCAAATAGAGTAATAATTAAGGAAGTAAAAGATGTATTTAAAATGTACGGTATTACAGTGGATACAAGGCATTTATCATTAATAGCGGACTATATGACCTATGATGGGCGATTCCAACCATTGAGTCGTAAAGGTATGGAAGATTCAGCTTCGCCACTTCAACAAATGAGCTTTGAAAGTTCTCTCAATTTTTTACGAAATGCGACAATACAAGGTAAATTATTAAACTTTCTCATCGTAACGTGATTGTTTTTAATCTACTTCATAATCAATTGTTTCTTATGTACGTTTTAGCTAAACACGACGATTTATCGTCTCCATCAAGTCGATTAATGGTCGGTCAACCATGTAAAGCTGGTACTGGTGCATTCACACTATTGCCCGATATTCAACGTCAACTTCAAAATTCAAGACCTTTGACTACCATGAGTTGATAATAGTTGAACTCGAAAAATAATTTATTTTATAATTACGTTTTCTGAATCTGCGTTATGATTTTATACCACTTTGTTATTAAAATAATATTTGTTAAAATAAAAAAATAAAACAAATTTTTTTTCAGATTATTTGATTTTATTGTATAAAAATAAAATAATGCACTATGTAGAATTTATTAGGAGCAAGGTTGACAATTTAAAAAATTTCAAATAAGTGTGGTGTATACTGTATAATACGATGATTATTTGCAGGAGCATATCAAATTTTAGACAAAGAAAATTCGATAAAAAATAGCTAATAAATGTTATGTCCCAATTAAACTTGCAAACTATTGAAGCTTGCTATTTGCTGACAAGCAAATTTCTACTCAAATCTGTGATTTCTTCACGTGTTTGCACAACAGGATAATTAAAATGTATTTTCAATAACATAATGGAAATGTTTAAGCCTTTAGTTTGTTTATTGTAGCTTTGACTTTGTCAATGTTGGCTCCAGAGAATCTCTCCACCTAAGAAATACAAATTGTATTTATTATTTGTTAAATTACTTAAAACATGATAAAAAAATTGAAGCAAATTTAAAAATCTTACTTCAGCTCCATTCTTGATGAATACAAATGTAGGCATACTAGAGATGTCATACTCCTGGCTAGCATCTTCTAACTTGTCAACATCAATTTTCAGGAACACAACATCAGTCAATTCCTGTATTGGAATATATTAGTTCAAAAACTTTGTTTATTGAATAAAAAAAATCATTTACAGAATAATATTAAAGCATACTTGAGAAAGTTCTTCGAGCTTTGGTGCAATCAGCTTGCATGGTCCACACCATGTGGCAAAGAAGTCAATGACAACAAGCTTACTGCCAGCTGCCTCGAGCTTGCTCTTTAAGTCCAACTGTAACAAACACAAAAAGTATGATTGATTGCTATAAGCAGACTTTAATGAGAATTTTATGTGTTATGAATATTCATGGGATGTATCACCAAAATTTTTGGTTGTAATTGTATACTATGGTTTCTTTGCTGTAAAACCTTAGTTAATATTTGTTTGCTCTTTGAAAGTCTATTGAAAGCAACTTGCATTTTGAATGAGAAAAGTAATTGACTACACTTTAATTTATCATTAGCAATTAACTTTTAATGAAATTTTTATCAGCCAAAGTTACATAATTTTTAGAAATTGAAAAAAATCATTGTCAAAAAACAGTGATATGTGAAATAAATCTTACACAAAGCATTTGATAAGTTAGTAATTAATTTTTATAAAATGTTAATAGCTATTTCAAGCACAGCTGCACTGTATTAATTCAATTGTTACATCTGCAGCATATTCAGGATGATGGTGTGTGCTATACATTCAAGATTCGTGCAAAGCAGCACCAATGACCCAATTCAATTTCTTTCTAGATCTGTTATTGACCAGTAAAAGTGAGTACACATACGTTTTTTAGATAGAAAGAACGTCAGCTTTAAAGAGACTGCAATTTCTCATATGAAGTCATTGTACAAACGCTATAAATATCATGCCTTCTTAATTAAGAAATAGACATTTTTCCTGCCCATTGATAGAATCAGGGAGCTGGCTTATTATTACTTTATTCTTTTGCAAGGCTAGATTTCGCATCAAAAACTTTTCAATAGCATCGTTGTCTCTTACGTCTTATTTCATGCTTAGTCACCATCTGCAATGCGAAGTTCTTGAAAATAGTGCAACGAGAATTACTAGCAGAATAAAGTCCAATGAAAAATAAAGCTCACACCTACGACATTCTCGAATATTTCTTCATCAATTTGATAACGGTAATCATTCAGCGATGAGTACATTGAAAGAACTTACGAGTTGTATCGCCTATCGCACACGTAAGTGTGACACATTCGCACAGTGGCACACGCACACACAAGTAGCTAGAACTATGGCTAATCTAGTAGCCAAGTTATTGTCAGCTTGCGTGATGCAGTCGTAAAAAAAGAATACACATAGGTAGGAACTAAGTGCTCGCGAAATAAGCCATGCACTCAGTTTTGTACTAGCCGGAAGTTAGGGAGTTAGTGGAGAAAGAGCTGGCGTGTGCCGTGTCTCGATTATGGCATTCCATTGCCTTATATACTATTTACTATTAAACTATTAATATTAATCGAGCTCGCTCCGTGGCATAAATATTACTCAATTAATATCATTAATAATACTCAATTGAATAACGCGAGCAACAGAAAAAGCGCAAATGAACATGCCGTTCCATTTTACCAAGGCTCTCAAGGTTATATGAGCAGCTCAACGTTCGACTTCGCGCGCTCGTGGCAAGAGGAATAGTGAACACGCGTGCGCGTGTACACGCCTATCCAAAATCTATCTTGGTGAGAATGAAATTACTTGTTTATTTTAAGAAAAAAAAGTAAAAACTTGAATGACAAAGTTACTCACAGTGTCCTGAACTTCGTAAACCATGTTGGTAGTTAGACAAGTAGTTGCGGAGCTAAAGTTTGAATAAATTATACTCAATTATCAAACGTACTGTACACGTTGAGGCACGTCGAATGACTAAATGGAAAACGGCCCGCGGCCGCGGAATAGAGCGGTGGCGCTCCGATGCCGGCCGCCTTCGTGTCGCCGCGATACACGACGCTGCACGACACTACGGTAGCAGAGGCGCATCGAGCGTATCCGACAAAGACGAAGCGAGCTAACTCTGCCGTATCGTAAACAAAGACGGAAAGAAGATTGTGCGCGGGAGATCGACGGTTGATGTAGAGAGGCGGGGAAAAACTGAACCCGAAGTTTAACGGAAACTTACGAGCGACCCTATAAAACTTTGTGATCGTGTGAGTGCAGCGCTGACGCATGTTTAAATTCAAAATCGCGCAACTGCTCATCTTATCGGACCGACTGTTGAGAAATTTAGCCAGAAAGACGATTAACAAACCTTGCATTTTTCAAAAAATATGGGTTCAAATAATTTTTTTAGAGTGTAATAATAACACGTACAAAATTCATTTTAATTTATTTTTTCCACGAACTTTGCTGCCAATTGGATAAAATGGTAAATAAATTTTATTGTTTTTTCAAGGAGTCAATGGGAACACGTTCATTTTGTAAACTCTATTGTGGTCGAATAGTAATAATGATAGTATACCTCGCATATAGGATGTAAGAGGCAATCATCAACTATGCACAAAAGCAATAAAACCTCTTGGAACACGGCTGACGAATCGTGAGTGATATCATAGACTAACGTCAGCACTACTCCTATATCTTACAAACAAATACATATGCAATATTCTGGTATGAGTCATTTGTATTTGTACAATTGTACAATGATCAACATTAAAAGTATTACTTTTTTTTAGAAAAAATAATTGTCATTATTAGAACACTTTTGAACGTAACGGTATAATTGGCCTTGGCAGTGTGGAAATTTTGTTCTGTATATTACTCTCACCAACGCGTTCTTCGCACACGTATACTCGGAATTCCTTCAGCTTATCGATCGATCTCCTTTTAATAGTCAGTTTTATATCAACTCATTCAAGTTCGCTCACGTGCATAAAAAATAACGCGGACTAGCTAGCCAAATAGCTGTGTTTTCTCTAGTGTCCAAGGACTTTATTCCTGCGTCCACATGACATGGAGGTCGTGGATTTTATCGCTGTAATTCATGTGTTTGCTTTTGTTTTGCGAACAGTTATCATCTACGAATCGCCAGCCAAAGTCAAACAAAATCCATAAAGTTGATGATCAGAGTCAGATGAAAGTCCTAGCAAGTCTCCCTTACTTTACCCATTAAATATTTTCAGAAAAATGTCCACGACTAAAAAAGTAGAGGAAACTTCGGAATGGCTGCAACGTATCGATTTAACACTATATAGGGTATATCAAAAAAAGCAAAATCTGATGTGGTAACGTTATTAATAAAATCGTGTGTGCGTGTGATACGTCAGTAAAGCGTGGAATGTTAAAATTCTCGCGTGACCGATAGATCGTATCTTCGTACAGCCTGCCGAGTTCTCTAATCCCGATGTGGCATTAAACACATTTGCTTTTGGCTTAGAAAAAAGGCGTTGCAGGATTCTCCGCGGCGATTGTAGTTTCGTTGTTCGAGTGAAAAGTCGATGTACACAGGTGTGGTTGAACGACCCTGTTGCTATGATTCTGAGTTGATCGATGCGGACTCTCACTGTACTTGTCGTAGACTTATATATATAAGATTGTAATAATTTTATATCGTGATTTTGATGACCTTGTACGTTATACCACATACATTTTGACCAGCAAGATTGATATCATACCAAATAAAGAAAGTTTATCAAATGTTATCTTTTACGTTAATGAGTTATTGGTTTCTCTGCTCGCAATTTTTTCGCACGTTTCCATTTCGAATTTCGAATTTTAATTAACCGATGTTAATCATTTGTTACAAGAGATAAATTTACGTTCTCTCAAATAAATTACCATCGCAATATAATTAAGCTTGAAAAGAAGTTTGAACAACGTTCATATTAACAGAAAATTCTCATGAACATTACAATTGCATTTTATCTTCATGATTTACATTTGTGCAGTTGTACCGTTAAAAAAATGTTCACAAACAATCATTAAAAGTGTTAAAAACTACAATTTTTTTTTTGTTTCTTTTTTTTTGCTTCGCGTTGCCATCCTGTTTCTGTCCCTTTAAGTCAGTTCTATTCGAGCTAAATATACGAGACAATAGTAATTGTTGGATAGATGTTTTCACTTGTTACGTAATAAATGTTAATATTTCTTATTCTCCGATATAATTTGAAATACAAGTTAACGAGGAGTTGTAACTTGCTTAAAACACGTATTCATCTTTGAAAATTGAATCAACTGAAAGAAAATGATAACATTAATAATATCGCGTTTTCGATAAACTCAGGAGAGAGATAATTAAAAACGTGAGATAACTAAAGTAAATTTTGACGTAATGACATTGCTAATTCTGTCGCGAATGGAAGAAAGCTCTCTATAATTACACCTAGCGCAGACAAGATTTGAACAAAGAATCTTTATGTAACGCAAAAAGCGAAACAAATAATGAATAATGGTGGATAAATAGTATATAAAGGTGTCTCGTGATCGAAAGCACAGCAAATATCGTACACGTATGATGAGAACGAAAATCAATGGTTACGGTGACGCACGAGATAAAAGCTCGAGTAGTACTTTACTAAAAAAAGCACAACTTGCTAGCCAGCGTAAGTCACTCGATGAAGTGTAAGTAAGTATTCGCAAGTGGAAAGAGAAATAGACTACGAGATGCGTAGAGTCAATTTCATTGAGACTCCGGCGCTCATTGCCGTGATTGCGATATGGAGTCCTCAGCGTAAAGCGCCCCGTTGGCTCGGAAATCACAATGAAAACAGGAACGGTCCGACGATTGTATTGTTTGGCCAATACATATCGCGTACTAACCCAGAGATATAACGACTTGGGGGGTTAAAACAAGGGGTGTGAATCGCATGTCAACAATCCGAGCAGTTGCTGCTGGTCGATCGAACAGAACTGACGGTCCGCGAGGTTGATAAAAGCAGAGTCGCGGTGTACGAAAGAGAGCACGACAAAACAATTTCAAAGAAGAATGCGGTTACGCACCGCGGGAGCTATAATAGTCGGAGAGCGAGCAAGTATAGCAAGCAGTTGGCCCCCCGTGTATCGATCAGCTGGCGCACACCGACTACACACCGGAGGCTATAGTGCAGGTACTGGTCGTGCAGAGCGGCAGAGGGGAGTCTCTCACGCTGTGTTGCGCATGCATCGGAAACGGCGCGGCGCTGGTAGCAGCAGGCAGCTGGCCCTCCGTGCCCCGGTTGCCGCAGCAGCGAGCAAGTGTATACGCGCAGCTCCGCTCGAGGATGGCCGACCAAGAGCTCGAATACCACTGGACCTTACCGGCGTCCAACGGCTCGGTCGCTAACGCTCGAGGCGGCGGCGACGGCGACAACGACGGTGACGACGACGACGACGACGACGACGACGACGACGAGCCAAGAATCGTCAGCGAGGAGTTCGTGTTCGTCTACGAGGAGGACAAGCGACCGGTGGTCGTGCTGCTGGGATGGGCCGGCTGCCAAGACAAGTATCTCGCCAAGTACAGTGCTATCTACGAAGAGAGGAGGTGAGCTACGTCGCGCCACTCAACCTTTATATCTTCCGCTCTTCTCTCGTTGATTCATCTCTCGCGCCAATCTGCTTATCTATTTATCCCCTCTCCTTTCCCTTCCCCCTCCCCCTTTTGCAAGTTCCTTTTATTGATTGACCGATGCGGCTTGCGTTCTTCCGGATCTACTATTCAGCATTACGTAATATTGTATTTTCGCGGAAACGGTGATAGGACGTGTATCTTAATTTTTATGCAAATAAAGACTCCCGTAACGCTTTGTCGTGGCTGGATAGGGATATCTTAACCGATAAATTTTAGCAGCACCTCATTATTTTTTCAACAATATATTCTAATTTTGTACCACTAATATCTTGAATTTGTCAATGAAAATGTCACATGCGACATGGGATTATACATTAAAGTATTAATTAAAGTAATTAATCAACCGATAATTAATTAATTTCATTTACGAATACTCTATCGATGTAATCGTTTTATAATTAATCAGATACATGACGTAACAAATTTTTTCGAATAGGACAGTCTGTCGTGAATAAAATATGAAAATTAGTTTTCTACTTTGATTACTCGTCGCAAAAGCAAAAGGAAAAGAGACGGAATTCTCATGCGTGGGTCCGCGTTATACATACGTTCGTTGTGACGCGAGTAAGGCGCGCGGTTCCCGCCCCTCATTTTTCCGTAAGGAAAAGAAAGAAGGAACATCGTGTTTGTATGTACGTTATAGCTGTATAACACTGCGATGTACGGCGCCGGTGGAATATCTATTTTGGCGTCGAGACCGGCTACCACGCATCAGCAAGAAACTGATACAAGTGATAACCGAGAAATGTTCGGCCGAACATCCAGTCTTCTTTCACGTGTTCAGCAATGGTGGAGCAATCTTTTATCAACACATTAGCTATGCCATGCAGCAAGCCGGTTCACCGCTCAAGGCACGTATGCACATACCTATCGATGCTTTTACGCGTGTGCCTCTGCAAACAGCCACCAATACACGCGCGTGTCTCGACAGTAGCTGCACGTGACGCGAATCCCTCTTGCGAATCATTCGCTACTACGAACGATCATTTTCCTATGCGAGCTGGCGAGTTTCTTTGTTTTCCACGTTGACCGATCAATTCTTCCACTTCAACATATTTCATGCGGCACGCGAAATATTTCTTTGAACCGAGTGTATTTTACGAAAATCATAATTAAATACAAATAGGCGTTCTGAAATTTTTATCAGTAGTTCTTGGTTTTCGAACATTTGAATTGTAAAATATGAAGTCGATTTTGCTTTTTTCGATGTAGATTTGGTATTTGTAAAATGTTGACCGATTCTATAATTTGTATATAATCCTATTATATTTACGAAATGTTTAATGCTTGATAATAAAATTAAGCATTTGAAGCAGGTAAAAGGTGTGGTCTTCGACAGTTCTCCAGGAGAAAGAAGAATAATGAGCTTGTACAGAGCGATTAGTGCAATCATAGGAGGACATCCGCTGACTAATATGCCGATATCGTTCATGATCACATTTTTCCTCTCATTCATCTGGTTATTCGAGGTACGCATCACGCTCAACGAAAGTGTTGCCTACGTCAAGTTCTATTGAAAACAGTGCATTCCAATTGTATCACTCATATCCAACAGATATTGGCTCAATCGTTTGGCAAAGGTAACGCGACGAATACAGATCCTACAGCGTTGACCAAAGAAACGTACTCGTGGCCGCAAATATTTCTCTACTCGAATGCCGATACATTGATCCGTGCAAGTGTAAGTATTTCGCGACCAATGTCACAATACATTGCTCAAATATTTGAGCGCATTAAAATTCGCTTATCATTCGTGTTGTTATATATGCACGAAGAAAAGCGTATTCCTCATTGGCACTCTATGAAAAATTGTACAGTGCGATGATTTTACAGGATGTTGAAAAATTTGCAATGAAACGAGCCGAGCGAGGGGTACGCACACAGCTGGTCCTGTTTACGGATTCACCCCATGTCAAACATTACGCGACCTACCGTGACGTTTACGTGAGTACAGTGTGTAATTTCATCAATGAATGTTTGACAGAGTCCATCGACCAGGAAGCTAATGAAAACAACGATGCCGATGAGAACGATTCGTTACTCAATCTTACCAAAAGGATCGTAATACCTCAGGATGTGGCCAAGCAGTGAGATTCGACAGATAGTACAAATATGTTTTACATTAATACTTTCGGACGAAGATAAGTGTTATCTTCTCGAAATCGAGTTTACTTTCTTTATTCCGAATGTTGTCTGAGTAAGATATTACTTTTGTTTTTTTGAGAGGTACGCGGAATATCTTATCATTAATTAATTAAAAAAACGATTACATTCATTACGAACATTACCGAAGGTTCAATTATCCGTATCTTTTCTCTCTTGTAAATTATTTAGTACTTATATCGATTGAAAGCATTTATTTTGAATTGCATTTTGAATTCGTGACAATTTAGCGATACGACGAAAAAAATAATAAGAAATTTAACTAGCCAAATAATTTGCTGAATTTTAGGTACTGTTCAAGTTCGTTATGAGCTCGAGAATGCTATGTAAACATTTAGGTACAATTTAAGCATAATCATTGATGAAGCTCGGAGTTGAACGATAAACAGTGATTTATAAACATAAAGCACTTATATTTATAGATAAAGCACTTCGTTGCAAACAAGAGACATTTCTCTAATGAATTTAAACATTATTCCTTTTTTGTTATTGTAACTTATGCATTCTTATCCACACCTATTTATACGATTATTACCTTTAAAATTTTATTACCTTTGTCACATCGTTACATCGTGATTATTTCTACTATTTGTTGATAAATGTTAAACCTTAAAACATTAAAAAATTGAAAACAACTTATGTAAGTTATTCCTTGAATTTGCATATTAATTCTATATCTACATTTAAAATCGAGCATTTGAAGTATTGCATAGTTACGTTTAATTGTATATAATCTACGTTTCTATTTATAAATTTTCCGCCAAATTAATAGACTCCAGTCTTGGATACACAGTATAATATTAAACTCGTTAAATAATAGCGTCACATTGTCTAATAAAATTGAACAATTTTTTGTAAGGATAATGAGGTAACTTACTTTTTTGATAAAGTCTATTTCAAAGAATTTCTATTCAGTAGTAACTAACAAAGAGATGCGATGACATGTGTACTGGAAGTTGCACAAAAAAAATAATGATGTGCACAAATATTAAGGCGATAATTCTGTAAACAATTAGTTTTTTTACAGCAATTATATTAGATGGAAGTTATTGTTACGTACGTCTTTATGCGAAATAAAAGAAAAATTATAAAATTTTGTTATAAAAATGTTCGCATTGATTAGAAAAAATGTTACCTATCTACCAAAATGCAAAATTAGTTCTGTTAAGCTTATTGTATTTTTGATAAGAATATTTCTAGTTTTGTCTGATTAGAATGCATCTATTGTTTCTTGTTCAATGGATTTGCGATTGTGATTTCGATCTGATGTTTGAGTTCCACGGTACATGTAGAATGATCAAGCTGGACTTGATGGAATATACTATTGGTAATTTTCCAAGTACAAAATTTTCTTGATAAGTGTTATAATATCATAATAAATTTATATATTTAAATAAGTTTATGTCAATGTGAATAGATAAATATATTTTGATGTAATTCTAATAGAAAATGTATAAAGACTGAATGCAAAAAGTACCTTAAAAAACTATTTATTTTCCTAATTTTATTAGAAGTTTTAATATTAATTTTATTTTCTTGTTTTATGGCTCTGAACGCTTAAATTCTCCCATTAATATAAAATGATGTGATACAGTAATCATTGATTGTTATTTTTCATATGTGAACAACTTCTGGCTTGTTTATTTGTTTACGACTTTGCGATCGTCTCGTCAAATGGTGTAGGTATTTATAGTAAAAAATCAACATTAAGAATTTCAAAACTGGCGAACAATAAAAGCAGAACTGCTTTCGGTCGCAAAATACCTTCGTCTACCTCAAAATTAAAAACCAAGGAAAATATTTACAAATTCAATGGTTCAATAGAACACTACAAGCGCATAAATACTCTAACCGTCTTCGTTAAAAGAGACGACAAAGAAAAAGAAGAGGAATCGCCAATTTATAGAAATACAAAGAAGTACATCGACAAATATTCATTCAACATTTCTATTGTATTTGTTTTAATTACATACGTATCTTTAATTAATAACTGATGTGACCGTGTAGTAAAACAGAACTTCAGCCAGTTAGCCAAAAAGCAAATGAGACGACAAAGAAACCTTCAGTTACAAAAGAAAGCGAAAAATCGACAAATGGCATTAAACGTCACAGTAATTTAGAAGTCATCAAAGTCTACTCATCTAAGTGCGTTTGAATGCAGAGAAATATGTCCTTAAAATTCTATCTGGTTTTAATTGAGAGTGTTATCAATATGTGTAAGCTTTGAAAGCTCTTTATTTTTATACAGGCATAAACTTAAAAAGGCACCGACTGATTCGGTTCAAGACACGGTAAGTAAGCCATCTAAAAGTAAAAATGAAAGCAAATTGACTTGCGGAAAAATGACTTCGATCACGACAAAACCTGGCTCTAACCAGACGTGTTCAAAAGACCATCAGGTTAGCTGTATTTAAATTGCATTAATTTTAAACTCTTTTTCCTTATTGGTTATTAAAGAAGACAAAGTATTGCATGCGTATTAAATAATTATGTAAGAAAATACGGAGGTGAATTTGAATTTCTTTTTGCGACTTAAAACATTAATTATTTTACAAGTTGCGAGAAAAGTTATACGAGGAAAAGTATATGCAAAAACTTAAGAAAACAAATACAAGAATTCCAGCAACTCGCAAATCTATTTACACTTTTATGGAACCGGAAAGTGGTATCGTAGATCGTAGAGTAAAAACGAGTGAGTACAATGATGGTATGTAATATATAAAGATAATACTACTTTATCACGTTGTAGTTTTGACAATATTCAATTATTCGCTAATTCCAGAAAGTAAGAAGCACAAGTCAACTGAGAGTAAGAAAAAGCCTTATTTAAACGTTCCGAAATATCAGGAGAATTATTTATCTCCAATGGATTTGCAAATAGCCGACATTGATAAACAATTGAAAGAAATTCGATCGCAAAAAAAGAAAATTAATCAGTTAATTTATAAAGAGTTAAAGAATACAAAGTCAGGTTGGCATGAAGTAAAAAACAAAGCAGATGTGTTGAATGTCAAAAATATTGTTGACATTTCTCAAGTTAACGACAATTCTCAAGTTAACGAGCTTCGTCAGATTTTAGAAAATACAACAAAGCAAGTTTACAGTCTTCATCATTCATTAACTGATCTAGAAAATCAAAAGTATGGCCAAACTTTTAAACCGAAACAAACAATTAAACAAAATCAGAAAAGTATTAGCAGCAAAGATGATAGTGATGTGAGATTGCTCGAAAAGAACGATAAGTCACCAGGTAAAATAACTTTTACTTAAACATACAACAAATTTAACATTTGTGTTTATAACGGTTCGCTTGATGTTTTAGAAAGAAATATTCGAAAGACTTTTGACGATTATTCATTGAATATAAAAACTGTACATTCAAGCGTTGATGGCGTCAGAGACATGTTTTTACAAACAAATACTCATTCAAATGCACCAAAAACTTCTAGAAATATTGAAGAAAATGATTTTTCGTATAAACTTAGTGAAGATAGTTTGATGGAAAGTAAAAATTTCAATAAGACTGAGAATACAAAAGTCGTTGAAAAAATAGAACAAAACTGTAAAATTTTCAGCCCATCGAATGTAGATACATCAACGAGTTTCATACAAAAATATTCAGTGCTCCAAAAAATGCTACCAGAAGTATTAAAATCAGAATATTTAAAGAAGTCCTGTTTTTTAAAATGATTGATTCTTTAACTTTTTCTAAATTATTACTCTCAGTAAGAAAAATAAATTGAATTAAAAAGTAAAATAAATTAAGTATGCCGCAAAATACTAAATTGAATTTTATATGCAGCAGTCAAATTTTAATTACAATTGAAAAAATATCGATATTACAGGAACTAATTTATCGCTGTAATTTTTTAGTACCCTGGTGGTCTTATAATCAGATTATTTCGAAAAATGCAACTTACAATCGTAATATCGTTTTATGTACACAGCATATACAAAAGTGCGCAAAATAAAAATATCATGTTTCATTAATGTATATCACGAAGTATTAGTTGATCATATTTTCGCCTAATCTCGTCAATGTTCAACTTTTGTAACACTGTTTTCTCCGTCAATTGATATGCTTAACAGTGATTAGTTTTGCCTCTCACTTTAAGTTTCACTACACATCCAAAGTCTTAAAATATCACTCAATAAACAGTGTACTCCTGCAACAAACTTGGCGAATTGATCGTCCAATCTGTGCGCAGTTGCATATATCACAATACTGGTGAAGCTGAACTGTGACTTTGGTAAATTATAGCTCCCGTAAAGTTTATTGCTGCAGCCAACACAAATACCGGCATCCAACGACCATTTGATGCAGTCACCAATTCGGCTGTTAGTGGACCACATAAAATCCCAGGTATTGTCGCCTGAATAATTTTAAATAATTTTTTGTTAATTTTGAAAAATATTTAAAGCATTTGTACAGCATTACTAAAAGTTACTCACAATAGTATTAGACACAGCAAATGTTATACCCGCATGGTTTGGTGCTATATCAGCATGATTACTCAAGTGTCCAGAAGAATTACATGCACACAATCCCATTGATATTGATACAAATCTAAAAAAGCAATATGTATATATATTTTTAATAATTTGTAAATTAAACTAATTTATATAAATAATGAAACTTACATGACTGCTAATATTAAATTATCAACAGCACAAAAAGCTAATAAAAAAGCTCCAGGACCAATCAAACCAATATTTGTCATTAGCCTTCGAACAGATAAAACTGACCATCTTTTCTGTATTAGATTGTCTGCACTATGACCAGCCGCTGAAAAAAAAATCTAATAAATGCACCGAAATTTTAAATAGACACGCAATAAATATTACAAAAAATATATATAATTTTTCATACCTATTCCAATGAGAGAGTTGATAATATAAGGTAAAGCTGTGAAACTTATACTTTCCTTGTTAGCTGATAAGTTCCTTGAAAGATAAGTAGGTAACCACTGCATAATTATATAATTACTCCAGTTCATAGCAAAATGAGCTATGTATAAAGCCCAAAGAGGCCAATGAGCAATGAATTCAGTCCATCGTAATATACGATTTTGAGGTACCTAATTTGAAAAAAAAAAATAATAAAAAAATGTTAAATACAGTGATTTAGGTGAAAATTGTAAATTTAATGTACCTTAGGTAAAAACAGTGGAATCTCATCTTGGGAATTAGTTTCAATATACAATAAGAACCATAAAATAGTCCATAAAATACCAATTGAACCAAATAAGTAAAATCCACTCCTCCAGCTTAGATGTGGACACAACTGCAATAAGAAAAATAATGTTTCAAGATAAAAATTTCAAGATAATACTTCTCAAAATAATTTTATGCAAAGATAATTTGCATTACAATTGATGCCACAACTTGTCCAACTGAGCCAGCAGCAACAAGATAACCAAAAGCTCGAGATCGCTCTTCTACTGGAATACTATGAGCAAACAAGTGAAATATGACAGGTAAACCTAAAATAAAATATCATACTAAAATAAAGTTTTCATCAGTCTAATAGTAATAGAATAGCAAACAAGAATATTTTAAATAAATAAAATATCCCACCTAAACCTTCAACAAGACCAAGTATTACTCTTGTTATGACAAGTAACAAAACAGATTGTGCTATCAGTGGTGTTATCACAGTGCTAATCGACCACAGCAAAACTGCTACCATCAATACAGTTTTACAACCAAAACGTGTGGCTGTATTAGCTCCAATAATCTTTAATATATTATAATTATATCTATGCAGCATTGCAGATTAATTATTTCCTAAATTACTAGTAAAATACGTACCTGACTTGTAAAATAACCAAATGCAAATGCAGAGAGAATCCAACCCTGCCAGTGAAGATTCCATCTGAATTCGTCAGTCATTGGAACTATAGCAATAGGCATTATAACTCTGTCTGCAGCATTGATGAAATTTGCAGCAGAGCACAAAGCTACAATCCGCGAAGTTCGCGGTAACATTGATAGTCGAGGCATCTTTTAATTTATACTGTGATGTGTTGGTTATGGCTATTTGAAGTTGACCTAAAATATTAATAAAAACATTGTTGTAGCACTGTAGTTTTACAATATAACCTAACCTATATATGATTAGATAATTTTAAATATTTACGAATGATCCACCTTTGTAAGTATCCATGGTTTAATGGAAGAAACCATGTTTTTCTCTGTTTCTTACACTAGGAAAAATATGAAATCAAAATTATGCGAATATGACGTGTAAACATATTGAAACGCTTGACAATAATGAGAATCTACGAATTATCTGAAGTTACCTACGCAGCCGGGAGCATAATCAATCAGTTTTTGACTCACCCTCACAGTCACTCTCGCTTTGGCTAAAATTAGTATTTGGAGTGCTCGACGTGTCAGTTATTGCGAAAAAGTACCAAAGTAATAGATAGTAGTAGACAATCCAAGCAGTAGGTGGCAGTTATTGTTCAATTTTCAAATACAGAGAAACTACTAAGCATATCCTATGTATATTTTAATATTTCATTTTTTAATTAATTTTGTGATTTCTATAAATAGATTTTCATGCTCCAATATTGCCATAGTTATAATATAATCTTTTATAAAAGTAAAACAATATGTGTTTATTGAAACACTATTTTTAATCTAAATTTAATTAATATTTTTACAAAGATATCAAATGGAAATAAATAATTTCTATTTTGTCTACTGAATGGTAGTCTTATTCCGAAAATCTTTTATTAAGTTTTAAAACCATTGCGAATTCATTTGACATAAGTTATATTTCATTTGGCATTTTTCAAAAATTAATTTACTGTTCGATGCACCTTCTGAAAACACAAAAATGATTTTATTAAACAAACAATATCAAAGCAGACAATGAGCTAAAAAAACTATTGGTGTGGCTGTGAAAGATGAGCATGTAGTTCAATTCCATTCCTATACGAAGCTGTAAGATCCACGTACGCCAAAAATTCTATCCTCGTGACCATGAGCCTCGCAGCTTGCAGACTTGTCTTGCCTTTAACCATCGATCAGTTCGTATTGAATTCATTGCCACCGACAACGATGTTCAAAGGGATATCTTTTATTACATAGAAATTGCGGTATTTATAGTTTATTGGTGCTGAGGCGCCATTGCCACGGCCACAGTGTCAATGAATAATACTGCGCTTTACGTAATAATGTAATTATTTTTTATTTTATTTCCAAGCGGAAATAGATTATTGTATATCTTTAAACAAATTAAGGGAATATACAGAAACATTATTCAAAAAGTGAAATAGAGCTGACTCTTTTCGTTATTACAATTTCTTTGCCAATTCTCATTTCTGTTGATTTAACTGCGATCGATATAAAAACTTTAAGCGCATTAAAATATGTTGTTTTCATACAAGTGCGATTAAATGCGAAAGAAGTTGTAAATAAAAATGTAGATTGCACTATTAAGAATTGTTAGGTCAAATTGGCGAAATGAAGCTACTGAAAGCAGATTGGTATAAAAATCTTCTGATGTTAAGCATATCAATTATAACACGGATCCTCTAGTTAAAAGAAAGAAAAATGAGTTTTCATTAATAGGAAAGTCTCAATGCATTGAAGTTACAGTTCCTATTTCGAGAAAAAACTTCAACTTCATACAAAATTTTACACTTATATATTAATTTATAATACATTATAAATAGTTTACATTATAAATAGTAAACGCAGCACAACTGTAAAATTAGCAAGCTCACATCATAGTTTAACAATTTTCACATGCTATGACTTACCAATACACTTCCAGCACGGGTATTACTATTAACCAATTCTGTAATTATTCATACAGGTCAAGGAATAAGTGATGAGAGAAATCGATGTTGACTTCAGTCAAATGTAAACAAAGGAAATTGAAAACCAATTCAGAGGCTAGGATCTTTTTCCTATTAAGCTTTTGCGAAAATTTGAAAAGATTGTCTTCAAGCTCTTCCGATCGAGCCGAATACAGATGCGAGCTACCAAATTTTCTTCAAGGGTTAATTTTTTTGAACTTTTCAAGCCTCCGAACCTTACATTTTTTTTTTGCAATTTTAATTTTTCAACGGTAGTAAGTGAAACTAATCGAATAGCTTGAAAAGTCGAACAGCTCCGCAATAGTTGCGGAGATTCAAAGGCTTATGTGTGTGCATAGTAACTTGCATAGCATCTCGATAGTTTAACATCTACAAAAGTTCGAGTCAGGCTTAGGACTTTGAATAGAGCCTAAGTCGGCTGAAGACCACGCTTCAGGCCAAAGTCAATTCAGCAGAGCAGAGCTTTTGCATAAGCCTAGTTGAGGTATTATATTTTTGCATAGTCTACGCATATTCAATGTGTAGAAACTGTAAACATGCTTTAGAACGAAATATATGAAATTAGCATAAGTACAGTGCACCTTGAAATTTTTTATAGAATTCGAATTATTATTGCTATACTTTGGAAGAAATTATACAAATGGATCTTTAGTAGGGCTTTAGTATTTTTTGTAATAATTCTTAAAATTAGAAAATTCTTAGAATTCCTTTTCAATAATTTTTTCCATGATGAAAATAGTAATGAAATACAGGAAGACGAAACTTATCGCAATGTAGTTATTACAGATCGATGTAGCATTATTTACTGAATAAAAAATAACGATCATATACTACATATTGATTAATTTTCTTGAATTAAAAATTAGAGTTACTTAGAAAGGTCATTTAATATGATGACTTAAATTTCGATTGTCATTTAGTTATTTCAATCAGAAGGCAATAATGACGACAACGGCTTCTTTGGTAAAAACAAACAAAAGAATTTTTATTAAATAAAAACACTAGACTAAATTAGGCGACTGGAGCAACGGGCAAATGGGCACCCTGTGGCTGAAAACCATTTTCGTCGGCAACGTAGGTGACGGTATAGGTCACACCGTCTTGTCCGACGAAGCTGTAAGATCCAGAGACACGGAGGACTGACTCGTCTTCATTGTCGACACGGCGAGTTTCAACCTGAGCAGACTCATCGCGTTTCTGGCCGTCCGATAGTTCGTAGGCGAATTTGTAGTTGTCGAGACCGATGTTGTCCGAGAGAGTCTCTTTGACAACGTAGACTTGTGGTTCCGCGACGTCTTGGGGTCGGGCAAGAGCAACGGCCATGAGGGCAAACAATACTGCGATCTACAAATGGTATATTTGTCAAATATTAGTAATTTCATAAATTTATGTACTCATTATATTGTATGACAAGAAAGTTTCATAACGTATCCTAAAAGTTCAAGCATTTCCATTTGTATTTGGGTAATTTTCGTATTTTTTAGTTGTCGAAAAATGTTAACAAATACTGTTGTACAACCCCTTCATGTAGAATGAATTTTCCAGTTACAACAGCTGAAGCGGGGAGAAACGGCCAAAGTTCATGTTCATTATAAGTCGATTAAAAATTATCAATTTCTTAGTGCATGAAGACACGTTACAGATTTTTTATCGCGATTGGTATACTGAAACGAAGTATTTTAAAAGAACAAATTAAAAGTAAATATTGCACGCGTAAATCTGAAACATGATTGATATTCAACGTTATAATGATGATATGACCGATAATGATAGGCAACATTATAAATAAAATAATAATAACGTAAAGTGAATGTCGATATTGATCGAGTCATGTCAAATGCAAAGTAATCCGGTAACTAATTACTTGAAAATGAATTAACGAGAAATGCACATGAAGGTCGGCGCACTTTTTTAAATAGTCTTCACAAATTCGTAGCACAAGTGATCTTAATGACAGATGGATGAGTCAAATGTAACATATAGATGACGATGCACAAAAAACTGACGAAGTCTAAAACTGGAAAGTAACACGATCACCGTAAAAGAGTAACTATATTCAGATGGCACTTTCTCTATAATAGCATTGACTACGTACCGTTTTCATGATTGCTAAGAAATTCGGAACTGTCGAGTTCGGCAAGCGGATGAAAACTGAAGGTGGAGTGCCATCAGCTGCGCAGTATATTTATACTGGATCCTCCTGCCCCTGGATATGAAATCTTTCACGCCTATCGCCAATCGAGCATAGCTGATGTCGACACTCATCACCACTTGGGGCTACGATATTAAATGCTCAATTTGTCACTGACCTTCGGGCGATCGGATCCTGATCACACCGGTCCATCCGCGATTACGTGTCCAGTTAATGTAATCACTCAATTAACTGTTCAGGCCACCGACTGTCACTTTCCTTCATTATATTTGCCAATTCACACTTTTCCACTTCAATACAAAAGTACGCAATAGTTCTTATGTATATTTCTATTTCAACCAGCCTAGAAATGTCACGTATGTCTTTCGTACGCTACAACGAGTCACATTATTATTTAACGTTACATATTTTGCTGTAGTTCTTGTGCAACTCTCTTGATCTCTCTGGAGTTAGCTGAAGACATTGAACCCGTGGTAGTAGTAGCCAATGAGAGAATAGCAAACAGGGATGAAAAATTATGTAATAATGCGCATGTACTGTGACACATGAGTGTATATCAGTAGTAACGAAGGGATGATTTTTATACAAATATAAATGACTTTGCACTTGATCAAAAATTACAAAATTGTATAGTTGATGAAATGATTTTTTTTTCTATAAATCATAATCTTTAATGAAGTATAATTAATTACAAAATAAAATATTTCGAAAGAAACTTCTTTAAATAGCTGTGAAGACAGACATTTCAGTGAGATTTAAATATTGGAGTATAATATCGTTGCGATGAATCATCGTTAACAATAAAACTAAAAATAAATATCTCCTTGGTATTTTTTAGAAATTTAGAAAGACATTTTTTGTAGCTATAAGTTTGTTACGATATCCTTTTCATATGTTACGATGACAATCCTGAATATATCGACATTTATATGTAATCTATTGAATATGGAATACTGCTTGAATTATTAATATTGAAATGAGATGTTCTTAAAAGCATAAATTTACAAAAGAAATTTCACGGTATATTATCAATGCATTGATATTAAATACCTACAATATTATAATTTTAGTGGAAAATATATGATCTTTGATCATATATCTTGTTATTTGAATTTGAGTACAGGGCCACCCTCCTTATTAGTTTGCCAATGAATATATAGCTAAAAGCACCAAAATATTGCATTTTTGATGATCTTAAAGTTATTAATTGAATATTAGGAGTTACTACTTCTATAATTTCAATAAATAGTCGATGTACCGTTCCAAGAATAAATTACAAAATAAGTAATCGATTCCGTCACGATATCAGGAAGAATCCATACAAAAACAACAAACAAAAATTCGTAAAATCAAACAAAAATACCTTATATAGATAATGTCCTAGTGATGAGTTCTGGCGAGTGATAATTGCACAGGCCGACAAAATTTGACGAAAGTCTAGAACCAGAGACCAGACTTAGTATACCCGAAAGAATTTTATGGTACTATTGAAAATTCAAATTTTCTCTATTTCAAAGAACGACGTCTCCGCTACAAAAATGTCAATTGAAAAAATTAGGTAGTGTTTTTTAAAGTAGACAATTTGCCCTTTCGAATGCTCTTTCCAGTTTTTGACTAAAATGAAAATTAGCAACGTAAGAAGAGTTTAAAAACAGCGAAAAACACTCTCTTTTGCACTTTTAGGTTAGAATATCTCAGAAACTAAGGGTGATGAATCAATTCTGAAGCCAGATTCGGATTCAGCGCATCAAATTCCTTCGGGTAGACTATGTCTGGTCTCTGGGTCTAAAAACTGTCGGCCTGTGTAATCGAAAAAAATATTTCATTTTTCATTTTTGTTTGTTATATATGATTGAATAAGACGGGAAATTTATTGATTAGTTCTTAAGTAACGCTTTTTTTATCGACAACTGATAATTTGATGAATAAAATGTTAGTTTCCAATAGAATTATTAACTTCACACATCTTCTTACCTCTTGACAAACTAAATTCATATTTCTTTAATGAGGATTTTGGAGAGAAAATACCTTGGTTGAGTGGGTTAGTTATTATGAGTTTGTATGGTTATTGTATTATTTCTATCGGCCGTATAGAAAAAGAATTAATTTTGGTCTGGTTTAATTGATTTTATATAATTTATAATTAATTGAGATTTAAAGGAAGAATCGTATTATTCAAACTTCATTCGATTTTCGTACTGGACGTTGAAGCGGTTATGGCTATTAAAAATAATTGATCATTTGCTGTCATGTTGAAAAATAGTCATAATTTACTAAATTTATACTTGATCAGTTTATCAAGTATTGGATTCGCTGAAACTGTCTAGAATACGTAGATTTAATTAGTGAGATAAATTTGAATTATTCAATTAAGCATTAAATTTTATTTATTTTAGAGTACGAATACAGTGATCACATATAGTAATATGTACACACGCGCGTGCTTAGACACATATATACATTACAAAATATTTGTAATCCAGCATATAGAAAGTAATTTAATTTACACTGGTAAATACAAATGTGTATTAAATATTTAAAAATACGTATAATTTTTTTACATGAACAAATGAAGTGCTTAGCTGCTACTATATATTCTTGGTTACTATCCACTCTGGAGGCCCGACCACTTAGGACGTAGAGGTAAATATCTATTGATTCACAAATAAAATTAATTTATCATACCAGTCATAACGAAAAAATATAAAACTAATTTTTAAAAAGTTACAGATTTTCGTATGAATCGTTTCTAGTAGACATTTATTTCATCTCAAGCATATTGATCCAGAAAGAAAATTAGTCTTCAATAATGAAATACTTTCTGATTCTTTGTAATCTCTAAGTTCAATAAATTTCAATGTCACGAATCCAGAACAATGCAATTCTAATATCACACTGAAGTTAAAATATATTGATATACTGTTTTGACGATTTCAAAAGATCGATAAAATTATGTCATCCCTTGTTATTTGGTAACCGTTATGTTTTAGTTTTTGAAGTCGGTCATTTTTGCTGATATACAATTAGAATTGATATGCAAATTGGAATTCATTTCAGGTTTGCAATAGCTAATATCATATATACGAGAGTGACCACAATTTTTTCATATTCATCCAATAATCATAATAAATTAAGAAATCGTTTGAGCTGATGTCAAACTGTAAATATATTTTAAAAATAGATAATACATTCAGTGCACTTTGAAAGAAACATTACTTTAAACTTGACATAAACCTTTTTTATATCACTTGTGGACATTTTTTTCGTAACTATATTAGCTGCACAAACATATGAACACGTAATTAAATTAAGCACATTGACATTATAATAGAAAGTAATTTTTTTAAAGTCTAAAAATTTGTATCTTCATTTGAAAAAATCATCTCATAACTATTAACACGAAAACTCTCAAATAGAGCACCAGACCTGTGAGAGGCCGATTTTTAAAAATCTTTGGAAAATATTCCTCATAAAAAATTAGTTTAATTTCATTTTTAGGTCTTTTTTAGGTTTTACAGGGCCTCACAACAAATATATTAGAAAATTAAATATCTCTTTCACATTAATGATTCTAGAAGAAATAAGTAATTTATTGAGATTACTAATAAAAAGCTGAGATCTAATAATTTTGGTAAAAAAATTTGATGAAATAGTTAGAATCATTTAAAAGTTACGATAGAAATTTCATTTTTTTAAATGGAATAACATTTGAATGGATCAAATTTTTCGAACAAATTTAATACAAATCAAAAAATTCGACCTTAACTCTTAAATAATTGCTATGGAATCATTTCTTCACTAGGTAAAAACAGGACTTGATTTTTTAATATTTTGGTTGTAAGTCCACTAGATCCGAAAAAAGTGCTATAAGATGAAACTGAAAGACACGCTTCTTTTTATTTTTTAAGGAATATTTTTACGTTTCATTAAAATTTTATCTCCCGTAGGTTAGGTGGTTTCCTTATCAGCATATCGGATAATTACTAATTAAGAGTACCAGCTAGTTTTTAAAAATAAATAATTGAATACTTTCTTTGTTAGGGTCTAAAAGTTGTCCTAATAAAAATATTGTCATGAAACTTTTTACATCGTAATGTAATCGATATGAGTTTTCATTTTCTTGCTTGTGAGTCTCAAAATTTTATTTAGTAGTCCTAGAAAGTTTCTTCAATCGCAATATCTTATTTTTTGAAAAAATTTATTTTACCACGCTTTTCTGAAAGTTAGGGTGAACAGAAATTATTTTGATGGAATTCATTGTCTTTGTTAGGGTCTGTACTATAGAATGTGTGTAGCTGTTAATCAAAAAAATTATTTTTTCTTATGTTATTCGTCAGGTTTTTCGAATTTCGTGAAAACAAAATAATTTATAATTTTAAGACAACTGGTTAACAAATATGAAAAAATAATTTTTTGAAAATTGACTCTGCTCGTTCCATTGTACAGATCCTAACAAAGACAACGAGACTTCCCAAAATATTTTCCGTTAATTTTAATGTTCAGAAAGGATTGATAAAGTCAATTATTTCAACAAATAAGTTAATAAAATAATTAAATAAATAAATTAGTTAATTAAATAGTTCCTATTAAGGGAACTTTATAGGGCCTCTAAATAAGATTTTGGTATTCGTGAGCAAGAAAATGAAAGCTTTTACTGAGGCCTTTAGGATAAAAAAGTTTCCGTGATGATACTTTTGTTATGACGATTTTTATATGTTAACAAAGAAAACTCTTAATATTTATTATTTAATACCGGTAGGTCCCCTTAATTCTATTAACAGGGTACAAATAAAAAAACAATGATTTCTTTGGTAAAAACAAACAAAAGAATTTTTATTAAATAAAAACACTAGACTAAATTAGGCGACTGGAGCAACGGGCAAATGGGCACCCTGTGGCTGGAAACCATTCTCATCGGCGACGTAGGTAACGGTGTAGGTCAGACCGTCTTGTCCGACGAAGCTGTAGGATCCAGAGACACGGAGGACTGACTCGTCTTCGTTGCCGATACGGCGAGTTTCAACGTGAGCAGACTCATCACGCTTCTGGCCGTCCGACAGTTCGTAGGCGAATTTGTAGTTGTCGAGACCAATGTTGTCCGAGAGAGTCTCCTTGACGACGTAGACTTGTGGTTCCACAGCGACTTGGGGTCGGGCGAGGGCAACAGCCACGAGAGCAAAGAAAACTGCGACCTATAATAATTGATTGAAAATAATTAAATTATCGTGATTAAAGCTGTATGCGAGGAGATACGAATATGCGCAAAGTTTTATATAAAAAGTCATTATCAAGTTTTCAATTACTCATTCCATTTGGTAATTGGATGACTCATTTGAAGAGTTAAAGGAGAAACAGTTGTAAAAATTAATTAATTATACTAGAACCTATCACAAATTGATATGCTGGATAATAAATCAAAAATGTAATTGGTTTTCCACTGATTACTAAAAATCACAAAGCATGAGCACTATGTTTGCACAAAAATAAACACGGTAATGAAGTCAAGAAGATAGAAACGAAGAATAGAGAGCATAAAAAGGGCAGCTCGATGTACGTACCGTCTTCATGGTTTTTGGAGATGAGGTAGCGAGCAAATGCTGACTAGAAGCTGGGAAGTGCTGCGAGAACTGAGTGCCGAAATATAAAAATCCAGCCGAATTTATACCGTAGGCGCCGCCTACTTGCCGAAATATGTCCCCCGTCGTACTCTCTCTTTCGCATTTTTCGTACCATCTCCGTATGCCCATGCGATTTTTTCCGACCTTCTATTCGTCTGGTTCCTCCAAACAGCGTGTCCATGGCATACTCGTTTGTCAATCTCTCTTCCCTCCCTTTCTCTCCTGAAGCGGCACGTAAAAGTGACTGTTTACAACTCCATCATTATAAGATCGCCTATAATTCTGATATCACGCGCTGCGTTAATTAAAATTTTTTTTCCGTTTACAGACATTCCTTTTGGTTAATATACTCTCGGGAACTTCATCAGGCGGAAATGCGAACCATCGACATTGAAAGTAGATTTATGATAGAATCAAACGTACATGTAGCATACGCATGTGCCGTTTTTTTATTATATATTTCTGTTTTTCTATTACAAGTACAATCACGTGTCCAAATTTACATTTTAACTGCTATAATTGTATAGTACGATTTTCCTATATTTCATCATCATAGCTTACGATCTCCCTGAATATGTGAATTCAAGGTATTAAATATAAAAATATTTATCTCATATATCTGTCTTCAAAATTGACATTACTTAGAATAATTTATTGTATACGTCAGTTGAATTATTTATCTTGATGAGCAAATTATGAAAAGGGTTTCAAGAATTATTATTATATTTTATAATAAAAATATATATCGACGCATTTGCTGCAACGAACCATGTCGAGAAATATATATGCAGTCAGCTTTTTCTTTGAAGCCAAGTAAGTGTTTACAAAGTCAAAAGCTTTTTTCGTTTTGTAGTATACGACTTATTTTCCGATGTCGAATGCTTTATGTATCTGCATTGTATAGGTAGATAAACAGTTCTTTCTTTTTTCGACGCTTACAGTTTTCTTTTACAGCAATAAAAATATTAGCATTATACGATATTGTTATTTGATCCGTTTATTTTTTTTTACTTTTCATAATGAATATAAATTACGTAAGTTACAGAACCTTGCTTCTTCATATGAAATTATATAGAAATTGAGAGGCAAATATACCAACATTTTTTCAATGTTCGTCATTAAATATTTATTTACAGTTTTATACTCAACAAGAAAATCAATTTTGTATTAATGGTTCTTATGAAGTACGGTAATCCTTTTCGGCGTGAGTAATTTTAGCATAGAACTTTGGAAGCACATTAATTTATATAAAATACGTTTATCGCTGTGGAACAGTGTTTTAAAAAAATTTTTTTTAATAATTTTGTCAGATTATATTGTCATCGTTATTTAATTATGTAATTGTAAGCGTAATATAAATCATGATTTAACTGTAATCATATTCAATTATGAAAAGAAATAACGGAAATCAAGATTTTTGTTTCATGAAATGTGGTGCTACCAATTTTTTTTATCTAAATACTAGACGTCATGTTGATGAAATCGCCAATATCCATTACATACTTTTTCAAGTGAGTGCATCCATCGGAATATAATGACCTGAAGGCTATTGAATACAAAATAAGCCTGAAGGTAAATTGTTTGCATGTCAGATTGCATAATGCAGATGTAATGGTCGAACGATAACGATAAAAAATTTTAGTAATCGAGGAGGGAGATTTATGGAGAAAATCTACCTGATAGGTTGCATATGAGTGGCGTTTCCATTTGAATTTCACGTATGTACCTACACATAAAGATAAATTATACTGTCACTTTATTGATCGTAACGAGATATTTTTTAAAATATTTGATTATTTGTTTTATTTTTGTCGATATGTATTTGAAAGAGGCGAGTTTATTATTAATTGCAATCTTTATTGTTTTTATTGATCATAGGATACATTTCAATTCAAAAATTTCAATTTTTTACTATCGACAATAAGGCTCAGCTAAGTAAAATTTCCATAACCATAAATTACACCAAATTTCTAATTTAAAAATTGATGAGGCATTAGAAATTTGATTATTAATTTTTGCCTGAAGCTAAGTGGTGAAAAAGAAAAGCTTCGCAAGGCCATTTCTTTTAATTTTACAAAAATTGGGAAAAAAACTTTCTCCTTTTTTTTTGATTTCCCAAAATATTTTGTAATGCTCATATTTATTAGAGCAATTGGTTGTCTCTAATCATTGATAGAAAGTAAATAAAACCAAGTACTCGATGTATACTATGTAAAGAGAATGAATCTATAGGCGTAACAAAAAAATGCCGTTCAACTTCAATGCCATCGCGGGTGACCGCAACAGCCTTCTGATCCCACACCTTGTAATTTCGCCATCAGCGTTGCAGAAATTCCAAGGAAGAAGATCCCTCCGGAATAAAAAAAATAAACGAGAAGAAACTGAAACAATCTAGAAATTATCGAGCAAAAAATCAATTAAGTGTATCTGTTGATCCTTCAAGGCACGCGTATGGCGAAACAAAAGTAGCCTATAATAAATTTTACGGTCACGTCATTACAGCGGCGTGCGGCTATTTGGCGTTCAAAGTACCACGCAAAAAGTAAAAGGGATTACGTTCTTGTTCTTCCTGGTTGGTAGATGTATAACACGCTTCAGAAGATCGTACACCGGGCAACTATTATTTTCGATCTATAATGAGAGCTTAACCTTGTATCTAGGATGCTATTCGTGAATTATTTAATGTTGATTTGAGGTTTTGGATAATTTGCCGCGGACTATCAGGCGACGCCTTAATCTCTAAAATCTGGTGTGGATCCTTGTGTGTTGCCACGTGTAAAAAAAGATATGGAAGACATTCGTGGATTTATTTGACGTTTAAAAACTGCGTTTTTGTTGACTTGTCACGGGTACTATAATTATATGGCGTTATGAGTTACTATCCGAAAATGTATGGATTTATAATTTATAATTTCGAGCTATCCGTAATAAATTGAGACCCGACAGATTTTTTCCCACCAATGTTGAGTAGTTTCTTAAACAACTGTATTAAATTTACACGAAGAAGTAAAAAAATCATTGGAATAATTATGTAATTTTTTACTGTCAGGCAGCCGCATCCCACCTTTAGGATCTATTTCCTAAATGACACTAAAGATATTATCGACAGGCTATTAATAAGAATTGATTAGCATAATGCATTTCAATAAGCGCCATAAACAGATAGCCACAGACCACTAAAGATCATCTTCAACGTTGAGCGCATGGGTAATTCCGTAACACGATTGCCAAATGAACGCAGATTCAAACGCAAAAGGTCACCTAATCCTCGAAATGAATCCTTCACCCGTGACCCAAAATATTCCGAACAACTATCGCTGTGCTCTTCACTTGTCCCGATCGGCTTTCTCCTTCGCTATATATATAGATCCACGATCGGTGACGTTATGAAGATTAGGAAAATGATAAGCAAATGACTTTGGCAGTGAATTGTTACTGCTTATTAAGTATATAGTTAGACTTCGATAGTGTATAATTTTTTTCACAAATTATAAATTATAATTCTTGTGTGATCGAATAGATAGATAATTTTAGCAGTCTGCGTACAGTTTAGTTTCGACGTACATAGCAAGGTTACACTTTCATTGTCGAAGTCACCAATTTTTAAGGACTTGTTACTTATAGTTGAAAGTACATATTATACATATTTTTACGGAAAGTGCATAGCTTGGAGTAATTTGGTTATATATATATTACAGGCAATCATCATCATTTAGAAGATGAATGCTTCATGAGATTATGATTATATCACTTGGCTTTCAATTTGCAAACGTAACATTAGATTCTTTGTTAGGTACATCTTAAGCATCTTTGGTTTTGTAATCGTATAGCCATAATGTTATCGAGACTGTTAGCCTCCCATAAGGTAGTAAATAAATTAGTAAAAAAGGCACGTGTTTTTACACAGCTATGTCTAATAAGCGATTGACAATATTCGCCGGTTCTGCCACGGTGTGCATTGTTTGCCACGAGTAGTTACTCGACCCGCGAGTGTACGTTTGCCGGCACAGTACGTAGAAAACCTCTCAAGGGATAAAATCCTCTCTCGAGTGAGTGAGCTACAATCTCCTCTCCGTGTGGTTAGCTTTTTATGCCTTTATATGGAGAATATGTTGCGAAACCGTTGTGTGTTTCTTGAATTTGCGCGCACTTGCTGATGCATCGCGCATACCTCCTATGCGCCGGCTTCGTGTAGCGCGTCGCTGCTTTTATAAATCATGAAACAGTCATTTTTTTTTTTACAAAAATAGAATAGAGTTGAAAAGTTGACTCTTCGAGTCATGTATGCGTACAAAGTCAGATTGTTTTCTTTTTCTGCATCTCTAATGTCTAAAACGAAACGAGGATTCGAAAAAAAAAATTTACGAAACTCACTCTATATCTATTCATCACTGCGACAATTTGGCGTGGGCTCCATTTGCCACCACGACAAATTGGAATAAATGGTTTTACATAACCATATTATAGTCGCGATCGCGAAAGAAGAGAAATAAAGGAGAAAACCAACTTGTTTAGATGCAAATTATCTCGCGTCGATGCGCGATTAGTGAAAAGTAAAAGCAATATCGTCCGAGGACCAATTGGCTTGACATAAATGTCAATGTGGCAACCTCGGCAACGACCAATTGTCACGGCAGATACTGCCAATTGAACAAACGAGGCTGCTCTCACGCACGCTGAAAAGAAATTCCAGTTCGGAAATCGATTCGGCCGCGGTAGCACTTTATGCAAATGACCGACGCCTCGTGGTTCCCACTCCAGGGCTCTCGTCTCACCGAACTGCTCCGAACTGATCAGCTTGGCCTATCTCGAGCTTTCATCTGAATTGCGCGAATCGCGCTGCCGGCGACAAAATTGTCATGCGGACTTTCATCAACGCATCGCTCTGCTCTCCGCCGTGGTTCGTAGCGCGCGGTCAAGTGGCCGATCGGGAGAAAGCGCGTAAATCACGAGAACCCAAGAACGAGAAGAGAGCAAAGGCGTGGTTATGCGTGGTTGTGCCGACTGCCGCTGCCGTCCTCTCGGGAAGCGATTAGCGAGAGACGACGATGACGCAAGGTGTACGCGCACGCGGCCACGTGGAAGCTGCCAGGCTGTTTGCAGGCCTGGCGCGGCTGCGACAGGTGTTTATTGCCGGTATATCATGTGACAAATGCACAACCAATGCCCAGCGCGTTTATTGTCCAGATGAGTCGTTTGCTTCCCATTTCTTGCAACTTTCACTTCAATTCGAGGATGACGCTTAGACGTGGGTTGCCTAGCATTCCCTTGGATACAACTTTTACTAAATAATCGTAATATTCGTCGTTTCGTTAGGAACGATAGTTGCCTACGATCGGAGTGCAAATATTTCGATCAAGAGATCATATTTGGGTGGAGGTGTGAACGGAGAAGATGCAATTGTTTTCAAGTAACTATCAATTTATTAACGTAAAAAAGAAGAGAGAGACAGATAACTAAATGACTAAATGACTGAATGAAATCAAGCGACGGGCAAATGAGCACCCTGTGGCTGGAAACCGTTCTCGTCAGCGACGTAGGTGACGGTGTAGGTCAGACCGTCTTGTCCGACGAAGCTGTAGGATCCAGTGACATGGAGGACTGACTGCTCTTCGTTGTCGACTCGGCGAGTTTCAATCTGAGCAGACTCATCGCGCTTCTGACCATCGGACTGCTCGTAGGCGAATTTGTAGTTATCGATTCCGATGTTGTCCGAGGGAGTCTCCTTGATCACGATAACGTGGTCGGGGGGAGTGCCGTTGTGGTTGACGTGAGGCAGAATCCCAGCTATAGCCACGGCGACGATAGTGGAGAATACAATGAACTGCAATTGCGAAAAATAGGACGTTGTTAACCCTGACTCTTCGGTCGAGCGATTTGCTCGAGTTGTCTTGCATTCGCGAACATTTGCACTTGATCGGCGAGGCAGTTTGCGCACAGTGTAACGAGTATCCGGCGCGGGCTGCTGGAAAGTCGGTGCCGTCGCGACGCGCGGCGTAAAGGCGACAGCTACATGTGCGCTCGTGGCGATAAGATCAGCTGTGGCTGTGCGCGCTCGCGAGTGATAAACACTTTCATCGCACGCTACCATAGTCTGCCTGCCGCGGGAGGCGAGGGGACCGCTCGCGCGCTGCAGTTGCGCAAGCTACAAGAGACGCTCCTTCGCGTAGAGCGCGACCTATCGCCTATGCCCCCCCCCCCCCGCCCTGGCTACCCGCGCCTTCTTCGCCGCCGACGCCGTGCGGATGAACGCATCTGAAAAATCGGCCTTATCCTCCACTTGACGCCCTGCGGCGCGACGACGACCGGTCGCTTGCGCAATCCTTTTGCAAATCGCGCCCGCGAGCACTCGAACATCTCGCCCGTGCACGCGCGTGCGTCTAGTAGAGATAATCCCGTGAATTAACGCCGTCGCGCGCCGATCATTATATTCGCGCTAGCCGTTACTTGTCGGCTCATCGCCAGACGCACATTTTACTTGAAGTGCATCTTTCTTTTTTGCGAAAGCCCCTTGAAATGCTTGAAATAATTGCGGAGTGGTAGTTTGTTAATCGGCAAACACAGCGAATCGAAGCAAGCGCGCAGAGCTGCTTCAGTGCGAAGCTGAGTGAAACAATTGCAGAGTGACGTTAACGTAACTTGTCAGCGAGAAGTCACACGGACACAGAAAAAAGGAGAAGATAAAAATGCATTTGACACGTTGCGGGATTGCGCATTACGTTGGAGTGATGATTCCCGGTTTTACGATCGCGATGCGCACTAAACAGCCGCAAAATATAAATGAATAACGACGACGCGGCGCTGCCGCCTGTGCACATACAGTCGCATCGCCGATAAATCATCGTTAAGAAATCTCATTGGGAATCGAAAAGAAAAAAAAAATGGATTTTCGAAGGCGTTCATGCAAATCCGCAAAAAGGGGCGAGTGGAGCGCTCGGCGCGCTTGCGCAAGGCCGACGACGAAGACGAAGAAGCGTCGTGCCGCGCGATCTTTTGTCTGGCGAGGCGCACCCTGTTCTAGCCGCGTGCAGGGCTGCTCCCGACCAAGTTCCGCACCGCGGCACGCGATAGTGCTCGATTTACGCGCGTGCCGATGGCGGCGCGCACCCGTCAGTCCGATCGGCGGCCCCCTCGATCGGCGGCCAACTGACAGCCCTTAAGAAACACCGAGCTATTGTTTGTCCGCGGGCGTGCGGCGACGGCTGCAACGACACGTGCTTCGTTGCGAGAGATTTGACTGATTTTTCGAAAGAACTTTGTTATGGCCGCACCGGCAAAACACCGGATGAACGTGCCGCCGAGCGTTTTGCAACGTAGCCGCTGTTGTCTCTGCGCCGAAGGGAGAAAAGCTACTTTTACTTTGTTACGGCCGCGATTCGGTTTTCCGTCGACAACCCCGCCCATCGACTACAGAATTCTCAGTTGTGGGAGGTTGACGTTCTATTGTGAGTATTGTACCGCTTAAAGTACACGTACTGTTTTCATGTTTGACGAGGGCTTGTAGTTGTTGATGCGACCGCGGCGAGTAAGTTAAAACTTGAACTGATTTGCCAGGTCGAATTGGCGAGTATTTATACTGGGTCCAGGAAGGCGTTTGTTTAATCAGGGATACACTCCCCACTTAGAGTTCTAGAATTGCTTCAAAAACAAGAAGCAGAAATGGAAAAGCCTGGCTTGTAGAGAAGAGGACGACTCGTTATTTATCGGGTGAAGAACGCGACATTTGCGACACTGAACGGCTGCGCGATTATCCGAATCCTCCGAAAAACCAACAAGGCTGCGTCAATTTCTTAATCACTCATCTGCGCAGATGATTTAGTTCAAATTTTATGCAGCTCGGACACGTGGGCAGGCTATAAAATTTACATTCGCTCACATAGAAGAAGAGTACGAATCCCAAAAGAGACCTTGGCGTAGATTTACCTGTAGTTTGATAATATACATCCTTGACGAGCAATTCACTGGCAATCGTTCTTTTTAGTAGCTTTTCGTTTTTACGATACATCAATTATTTCCGAGGATGTTTATCCGTATAGTTAGAAAATTATAGAGGTTTCAAGTCGTAAGTCAAAACAACTTAACAAAAACGGAATCCTTTACATTTACTGTTAATTTACTATTACACAATTAATTCAAATTGATTCAACCTTTTGTAAATTAAAGATTATTTCTTTTTTGTTTAGATCCACTGAATTAATAAAATTCGTTGTTGTGCATTTCATAAAAATTGTCCCTTATTAAATTTCGACAAGATTCAGTTGCAATCAGAGTGCACGACCGCAGATAGCAATTAAATTTAAATTTTAGAAAGTTCAAAGTGAGAAATTAAATTAAGACCTCGAGTAACGAGTAAATCGAAATCGAATAAGCTGCGGGTTTTTCGATAAAAAAAGTTGCTTGTTCAGTGAAAAGATACAGACACCGTTCTCTGAATAATTGCAGTCCCTTATTACGCACTTCGTTTGGATATAAATTTAAATGATTGCCAAACCCTAAACGATTGGATTTACGATGGCGAGCGCGCGAAACTAAAAATATTCAACGACAGTTTCTCAATGCAACGCAGTTGCTTAACTAATATGTAATCAAATACAGTCAAACCGAAGAAGCTGTACGAATATCTGCAGATATTTTATTATATTTTCACAACTTTTCAATAGCGACTGACAAGAATTTGTCGTTATTGATCACATCATAAAAAGTCGATAAAATCACGAATTCGAAAGAATTCGAAATTCGCTACTATTTAACGAAACGGATAGGCAGCGCACCAATGACAATAGCCGGCAAATAATAGCCGTAAGATGAAAATTGAAAGTGGCAAATGCCGAACTGTTTAATTATAATGCAGTAGTCGCGCACGAGTCGTCAAATGATAATTTGACGATTGCCGATCTCGCGATGATTATGCACATACATTACAGAAGAACGTGAGGCGCTTTGAACTGTTTTGCCATCAGCGCAGCCTTAATGTAAGCGTAATAGTATTCATGCTGCAACGCGGCTACACGCTGTAATCAGTTTGAATACAATTACCAATTTTCTTAATGTTCAATCATAGTCATTCAATGTTTATTAGAATTGTCCTAATTTTCCAACAAAATATTGAAAATACTTTTTCGGTACTCTTATTAAGGCATAATGAAAGAAAAGTCTTCAGTTTCTAATTCGATAGATGCAAGTGGTGTAGTAAGTGGCATAGCAGAGTAGGTGGAATCCGGTCGCAGTTGAGAGTGAAAGCAAAACCGTTTACTCTTGGGACCTTTGACTTATTCAAATATAGTGCTTGATCATTCCGTTACGGTTCACCAAGATCACACTCACTTCGCTCTAACTCTTCGCTATGTGTACGGATACGATTATTAATTTTTCAAATTTGATCGAACAAAATTTCGATCAATATACTAACATATTGTAGTTATTAAAAATGTTTGAAAATTTACGGAATGTTACCATGATAAGTGATACATTTGAAACGGCTATTAAATCTTATCGGATTCTCTGATGTGTAAGAAATATAATGATGCTATTGATATTGCCAACCATAAAGGCGCTTGATTTAATTATATAATTTGTTCGCCATATAACCACTACATAATTACATCAGCGATTATGTCAAGGAGATGAATAATGGAAAACTAATGATTTCGATGCCTATCTCTATATATATATTTATTCACTCGATAATTGCTGGTTTTAGGCAGTCTATTAGATTTCATTTGCATATAGGCCTATTCAGAAGTATAATTTACGAACAAAGCCAAAAGCTCATTCCGAATGCAGAAAATGCAAGACCGTTTTGCCGCGAAATTCTGAAAAGATCGAAACAATGCAGCGCGATCGAGGTGGTTGCATTCAAATCCCAATAATCGCTGGATTTTACACTTCGAGTTATGAGTGAACCGCGCGAGAGCGTTGCTCGTACGACGTCAGAAGGAAGAGACTCAGCTGTCCGCAAAGTAGTCAATTGCCTGGCAAACAAAAGTAAGAGCGACGCGCGGTGGTGTCTCTCCCACTGAAACATACGTATCCTGTCGTTTACGACCGCGGCCCATTTTTTCCCTGCTTTAGCACCTTAAGGCCAGCGGTGCTGCATCGGATTCATTCATTTTCAACGAATGCTGTCGTTATCGAGCTTACTTGACTGTCCGAGGCGCTAGTTATGAATTACTCAAACAAGTCTATTTGGAACGGATTTGCTCAGCAGTGATTACGTTTTACTTTATAATCAATAAATTTATAAGTAAGTTGTCATGAATAGCTACGATACATGACTTCTACAAAAACAAAATACATTCCTAAGTGTTAACGATCTTATCATCGTGATTAGCTTGTGTGATTCCTATGATAGACTAGACATTTGCGAAATTGCAGAACCCATTCCAAGTATATGTTTTTTTTCTGCGTGATAAATATTCATCAGTATAGAATATCACGTCATTTGTATTCTATGCAATAGTAATAACTAATTTATTGCGCCACTAATTTATCAGCTAATTGAGTAACGTTTAATATCTCGAAGAATTTTTTCTCGATTATTCCATTTTGTGCATTTCACGTACTATTGGGCTATCGTCATCAATAAATAAAATACTCCAAAGCGTCGTACAAGGTTTGATATGTCAGCCTTGTACAATGAAATCCGCAATAAAAATATTTCGCGCGCGCGCGAATACAATAATACATCTAAAAACCGACGTGTTAATACAAGATATTTGATTTGTCGAATAGATCGTCGAGTCCCTCGTTGTTTAACCGAAAAAACGTTGAGTGTCCAACTCTGCCGACGCCGACGACAAATCCAAGGGAAGCGTACGTTGCGACCGGCGGACGATGAGTGAAGAATCCAAGGCACGCGGCGAGCCAAGCGATTCTCCCGCGGCGCTCGGCGTCGACGTATCTCTAAAAATAATATCTGGCATTTTGTGCTCGCTCCGCGCGGTTACGCGAAAAGCCAAACAAAAAAGCTCGATGCGTGCGCGCAGTTTGCGCAACGCGTTACCGTAACGCTAGCCTGGCATCCCTCTCCCGATACGAACGTCTAACGAAGAAAAAAGATGAGCGACGCGCGCGCTTTAGGGAAAGAATCGC